TTCTAAAATAAAAAGAGAAGAGGAAGATTACCCTCTATCCATATGGATAAAGGTCTAAAACAGATAAGTATATGTCATCTTCCCTCTCATACAAATAAGAGATCAATAGGACTGTTGAGCATGATTAAAGACTATCCATCCTCAAAATATTTTATGAAATATTTTATTTTTATAATCAAATATAAAAAAATATCTCTAACATAATAAAAAAAGGGATCATTTTTTGATCACTTGTATCTATACTCATATACCTTATGTTATTAACTTGAGTGTCGAAAGGATCATATCGAGAAATTTCTTTCCTTATATACTCATATTTTGATCACTTGTATTCATACTCGGGAGTTTAATATTTTTACCTCGAAGACATCTTGAATAATCTTATAAGTTTGGATCACATCAATTGACCAAAACGTTAATGATTTTTTCTTTATATTTGCTTTGCTTCCTACAACAAAAATTGCAACAACAATTGACTACAGCTTTTCATGTGCTGATCATAATTCAACGATGCATCGTAGTTAATTAAGAGATCTAAGATCCAAGATCTCTCGTTCAAACGTTATAATTAATAATATGAAAGAAATAGAAAGGTACAACACATTTACAACAATGGAAAAAGGAATAACTTAAATCTCTTGTGATTTGTTTTGAGCTTAATGATGTTTATGCTTCAACAGGAGAACTAAGGGTTTAAGACCCCATTTCCAGTGACAATATGATTGGTCACATTTTATCTTCATTAGTGCGATGAGCTTATGAGAAATTATCGATTTTGGACGACGAGTGTACTTACATAATTTTATCCTTTCGGAGCTTGTGAGCTTCAAAAGGTACATCTAAGGGTAAAAATGACTCGATAGGCTTAAGAGTCATTGGTTCCCTTACTCCTCAATCAATATGAGACTAAATGCCCTTATCTGTGTTCCTTCTCGTAGAGAGACCAAGGACTAATAAGTTTGTCAAATCATCCTTTGTCATGACCCGGGCCTGGTGGGCTAATTGGTCAATAACTCTTATTTTGATCTCAATCACTGACCAAAATACTTAAGCTAGAGTTAATATTATATATTTATCAGACCCTTATAAGTCAATCTTAATCTTTATCCACAATGTGGGACTGATTGGGGTGTCACACCCTTATTCTTAGAGGTGTCTTTTGAAGCTCACGAGCTCCGAAAGGATAAAACTATGCGAGTATGTTCACCGTCCAAAATGAACAATTCTTCACGAGCTTATATGCTACACCAATAACAGATCGATCAAATATTGACGTATCATATACTAAGATTTCAATTATTTGTTAATATCAATTAAGTTGTCTAAGGGTAAAAGAGAGCATTGAAGAACAAGATTACAAGAAATTGTGACAAACTATTCCAACTTAATTAGATAATTAAATAATATACAATGAAATCTCAACTTATATATATATATATATATGTTTATATATATAATTATATATAATTCTTAGTTGACATAAGTTTCAACTTTGTTTACTTATAAATGTCAAACATCCTATGGCGTTTATGCAAAGGCATACTACTAACGTGAACGTAACAAATCTAATATCCAAAACATATATTTGTTAGATTATGTTATCTCTCCGATTGATAAGATATATTATAAATTTGATTAGGTTTCTATTAAAGTTATAGTCAATAGAAAGAAAATCCATATTATAGTAAGATTTCTTACGAGATGTCTTTGATTGTGATCGGAAGAACTCTCATAATTACTTATCATATATCTTCTACTCTCATCTATATATAGACATGATCCCTTAGGGATTAAATGGTATGTGGCACAACGTGTGACGAAATAGGCATACGTGACGATCATTGAGATATTATAGTTCCTCTCCCTCTCTCATCTTCCTTGATCCCTAATTCATCGATCCAAGCGATCCCGTGAAAGGATAGGAAGAGAGGAGAGTTTAGTTCTCTTTATAGATCGACATTACTGCGATTTTCAGATCAAAAGACGATACCCTTATAAATCAGATAAAGTTCTTTCTAGATGATATTGAAAAGTATATGTCGTAAATCTAATATATTATTATTTGATTATAAGTCCGGTATTAAAATTTGTTCACATAACGTATAACATATTATGATTTTATGCTTCCAACGTTATGCACATCATATAAAATATAATGTCTATTCATTTTGAGTTTTTTCTAATTGATATATATATATATATATATATATATATATATTATTTTTCAGTACCCTCATTTTTTCTTCAAGACAACTTTCCTTCTTTTGTCGATTCATGTGGTGAACTTGTTAGGTTATTGAATTTTTTTAGTATAATTATAATAATTTTAATATCTCCATGAAATATTATAAATTATAAACAAAAACTCAAGGCATAATATAAATTAGTTTATTATTTATTAGGGATTTCATATATGTATTTTATGTGAGTTATAATGTTTTTTAATGTTATTATGGTGCTTTTGTCATGTATATAAAAATACTATAAATTGATAAAAAGATGCTGTAATAGAAAACATCCTTTTTGTGGGTTTCAAATGTTTACTCTTATTGATTTGAGAACAAGACATAAGCACTTGATCCTAGTCCTTTATATAGTGATTTAAAAAAAATTGTTATTAACTAGACTAGTTAGTATCATAGAAAATATGTTGGATGAAATTTTAAATTTTCAACCTTTAATATATCATTATCAATATATAAAAAACTTATAAGTCAATTATATTATTTTGGTATCTTCATAAAAATATTATAGACTTCTGTAAAAATACCAATCTTATTGATTGATTGATTGACTGATGCCATACCAAGAATGGAATACTACTATAGATATTCTGTCAAAAATATTTTCGAGACCAAAGAAAATAAGATCATAAGGGAAAAAAAAAGCACCTTCATGGAAAATCCAATAAAAAAATTCGTCCATACAAATTTTTTATAGGATGAAAGTAATCGTGAAAAACTAGAATACCTTTTTCTATCCAGATTTTTCTCAGTAATTAAATATTTTTTTTTAAATATATTATTCTTAACATATCCCAACAAGATCGCGATCCTTCGAGAAAGTGATAGAAGATGATAAGCCATCTTCCAAAACCCAACAGGACTACTCCTGCATCGTCGAGCGACTTCCAGAGGCGTGACGACACTTCCGGTCCTCTCCATCCCGGTCTTTATAAGTACTCGACACCGGCAAAAGCGACGAGTCATACTACCAAATTCTTCCGATTTGTTCGTCCATTCGTTTACTTCTCTGCATTCAGCAGTAGTAGCAGAACATTACCTCATAACAGCCATGTCGATCGTGAGGCAGAGCAACATCTTCGACCCCTTCTCCCTCGACGTCTGGGACCCCTTCCAGGGTTTCCCCTTTGATTCCTTCCGTTCACTCTCAGAGACGCGCCCCAGCTTCGTGAGCGACGCATCCGCCTTCGCTAACACACGCATCGACTGGAAGGAGACGCCTGAGGCTCACATCTTCAAGGCCGACCTGCCGGGGGTGAAGAAGGAGGAGGTGAAGGTGGAGGTGGAGGAAGGCAGGGTTCTCCAGATCAGCGGCGAGCGGAGCAAGGAGAAGGAGGAGAAGAGCGACAAGTGGCATCGCGTGGAGCGGAGCAGCGGCAAGTTCCTGAGGAGATTCAGGTTGCCAGAGAATGCCAAGGTGGATCAGGTGAAGGCGTCCATGGAGAACGGTGTCCTGACCGTGACGGTGCCCAAGGAGGAGGCGAAGAAGAAGCCGGAGATGAAGTCCATCGAGATCTCGGGCTGAGCTCGTAATGGAACACACAACCTCTGTTTTCAGCCAATCTATGTACTGTGTGATCGGAAAAATAAGCATGCTGTGAGAGTCATAATGTCTGCTCTTTGGTTTGTGTCTTTGTAGTCTGTAGTCGATCGTCTTGTGTTCAGTCTTCTTGAAATCGAAGCGTTAAGTTGGTATGTCAATTCTTCATCCTCGCCATTCGTTTTGCCAGCATAATAATTGGAAGTCCGTGTAATAACACCTGGGCAATGAGATCAGAACGTCTACCAAAGCGTATCAACATCCTGTAATTCTTTACGTCACGTCAATACAAAGTAAGACGCTACCCCCTACAAGCAGGTAGCACCGGAAGCAGTAAGCTTTTCTATAAATACCCTCTCATTCATCAGAAAGGAGGAGAGACAGATACACAAAAATACTTCTTCATTTGAAACCCTCTCCACATCTGCTAACTTGATCGTCGGAGGGGTCGGACCGAGCACCTCGGCCCGACCTTTGTACAGGTGCGAAGCCGAAGGTCCCCTCCGGACACGCAGGCGAGGAACGCAGGCGAGGAGTTCCTGCCTGGAGGAGACGGCTACATCGTTCCGATCGAACACCGCACCCGACCGCCTCAGCGGGCTCGAGGAACGCCCCAAGGAGGCCCCCGTTGTCCGGACCCGAACCGAGCCGCATCGGCCCCGAGGCCACAGCTCAAAATTGTTTCCCACAACATAGTGTTAATTGTTCGATGCTTTATCCCCATGCGTCTGCCAAGACGGCTACATCGTCCCGTTCGTCCCCGTCACTTATGATTGGTTGAGCAAAAGCACACCGACAGTGTCTAAGGAGATCCCCATAAACATAAAGAACCGCAGAGTTTGTCATATTAATCATCGTACTCGTGATATTATTTAAAACTTAAACTTGATTTTAACATTTTAAGTATTTGAAGAAATTTAAAATGGCGAACATATCTTAAAAAACATAAAAGCTTAATTAGTCAATATGTCGTTAGGGGTTTGGATCTACTAGACCAGCAATATGACATTATTGTGATTAATAAATATTTTAAAAGAGTCTCATGATAGATAAAAAATTTAAAAATTAGGACTTGAGTCTTTTATGAATATGTCTTGTAATTTTAGGTTTTGGTAAGAGATGAACGACATGTGAGAAATATTATAAGTTTCTTTCTAATGTGTGTAGGGAGGGTGCTTTCTAAGCATTATAAAAAAAAGTTTAAGTGAGAGGGTATACCTTAATTAGTTCAAATTTTTATTAATCTTATTATATGTTATGATGTTCCGTAAGATGGTTTATCTTATAATTTAGATTGTTTTGGATGAAAATAAAAAAAAAGATTTTGATGTATTGAAAAAATAATAACAAAAATCTTTTTTTATCAGATTTGCATTAATTTATAGTAGAAAAATGAAATTAAATAATAATCTTAAATAGGTAAACAAGTCCTAAATAGTATAAATCATTTTAATTATTAATTTTTATTATAAATATGAAGATTTTAAAATAATTTTCTTAAAAAATATCCTCATTTTAATTTTTTTAAATAATATCCCTAAATATAAAAAAAAAATCCTTTCTTCCTTCTCCTCCTCTCCTCGCCCATCTGCCGTTGCTTTTCGCCGCCGTCGCCACCTGCCCTTCATCCCTTCTCTCCCACGCCCGTCCTTCCCCGTCATCTCCTCCTCCTTCCTTGCCGTCTGTTGTTTCCCTTTCTCCTTCCTTCTCTCTGCTCCTCCTCCTAGCCTTGCCCCCGCCATCTCCTCCGTTCTCTCCTACTCCCCTCACGTTCATCTCCACCAGCGATAACACCTTCGATCGGAGCAAGGCACGGAAACGGATGAGGCGACGATGACGAAGAAGGGGTAATTTTGGATATGTCGAGTTTATGGGTATCGTTTAGGAAAAGAAAAACCAAAAGAGGATACTGTTTAGAAAAAAAAAATTTCTCTAGAAAAATCGTCTAAGATTTTATGAAGTAATGGATGTGGGAAAGTGAATGATCTTCGACGGAAATTTGGAAGGTCTCCTTTTTATGATACGATCGGAGGACGCGATTCGGAAACACTCGAAACGGCACGTGAGGAAATCATCAAATAAATTTCCGTTCACCATTCGCATGTCAAACTCTCCGACCGCCCCTTGTCTCGTCGCTGTCGTCAAGAAAGAACGATGGCGTCTCCGATCTCCTCCGCAATCTTCTTCTTCTTCTTCTCCTCCTTCTCCTTCGCCTTTGCTCTCTCATGGTCATCCTCAATCGAGGTGGAGAGCAAGGTTGTCGGAGGGGAGGGGGCAGAACCGGTGGCGAGGGAGTCGTTTCCAATCGACGGCGACGTCGCCTGGGTCGTCCAAGTTTCCGACCTCCACCTTAGCTCCTACCATCCCGACCGCGCCGACGACCTCGTTCGCCTCCTCGCCCCAGCTCTTCGCGCCATCCGGCCCTCGCTCCTCCTCATCACCGGCGACATCACTGGTTTGCTGCCCCTCACCCTTTTCTCCCTATTTTGATTATTTTCCTAAAATTCTTTCTCGTCTAGTAGGTTCCGTAATCAGTTCGGCATAGTTGTTCTAAAGCGTCACCAGTTGAGTTTGTGTACTGCTACCTATTCTAATGTGTTCTTTGACAAAAAAGTTCAGCTTTGATACTAACATCGAGGTTATAATGCAGCAAGTCCTGCTTGTTTACGACTTCTTAGATGCTGCAATTGTTCAAATCTCCATTATCTTATCCTAGGTCCCTGAAACTTAATAATTATTGTTCATGATTTTTCATGTTTTGTCTAAAGTCATTGTACAATTTGACTAATTATTTAAACATATGTAAGAATGATCGATTAGGCTAGAACCCTGAACGTACTATGAAACTGCCTATTTACTAATTACTATTGTGATTTACTGATTTATGTACCTCAACGTGTAAATCATCCAACTTGTTATGATCCACGTTCCAACAATATGCTTCGATGTTTGTAAGTGTTCGAATGAAGTTGCTCTGGCATCTTTATACATGTAGTTCTTGGTTCTTTTAGCCTAGAACAAACTGTGATCTGATTGATAGAGTAGACTGTTTATGCATGCTACTTCAACCATGCATTATATCAGTGATGCTCTGTGCCAGACCTTCCAAAGTATCGGTTTTGAACATTCACAATCTAATACCCCTTTCCGGGTATGCTGATGGCATGTCATGCAATAATTCATAGCTTGTTTGAAGTGTCGTGCAGAAGATATAAAGTAAAAAGGAAAAAGGGAGATCTGCACCAAGATACTAAATTCTGTAGTTAAAAATGAAAAGGATGTTCTTATTTGTAAGTTCCTTAGGTGGTTAAGAATCAAATGTACAATGAACTTACAAATGTTACAATGTCATGCCATGTGTTAAATTTCTGAAGGTGACATATACTAATTACATGGTTCTTGGGAAATGTGTGTTTTTTTTAAAATGTACCAGCATCGTTTCATGGCTCAGGAAGGCATTGGTTATGTCCTCAAACAATTGAATGTAAGAATTGATAAAAGTATTTCTGCATTATTTCACTATCACTTTTTGTATGATGCCCTTGGATTTGTTAAAGGTATTTTTCCTGTTTCCACCCTGATTTCTCATTGGCAGCAAACATATATAACATGTACTTAAAGGAAGCTTTGTTGAGAAGTCACTAGATTTGTTGTGTGCTTTCCTTTACAATAAATATTGGTGTGGGCTAAAAGTATCATGAACGGTATCATTGTATGCTTGAATAAATTGATAAAGTTTTCTTAACCGTTAGGTGATTCTATATTGAGGATAAATGATTGAACAATGCTTCTCTAGCCTTTTCTTTATACAGAAACTTTTTCTTCATTTTCTGCAATCAGATGCCAAAAACAAAAGACGAACAAGCACGAGGCAAGATATATCAGAATGGATCCAATACAGTAACAGCATGGAAGCAATTGTCAAATATAGTGGCATAGACAAGAGAAGAATATTTGATATAAGAGGCAATCATGACAAATATGGAGTTCCATATGTTGGTCACGAATTGGATTTTTTCTCAACTTACAGTGTTAGTTCGCAGCTAAGAAGGCCGAGTACTGTTCAGAGTATCTCTCTTGTGGTATTATTCCCAATCTGGTTCTCATTTTTTGGTTTGAGTAAGTGGTGATGTTCCTTTAGTGGTTAGAACAGAAATTAGGTGGAATTTCGCTTGCGAGTGGAATTAAAATTGAAATATTATCCCTTTAATCTGCATTTTAAACTGCCAAATCTGGAGCTTGAATGGGAGTCTAAATATGATTCTTCCCAGCCGGTCATTAAAATTGAAATTGCTCATTCTAGTTTCCAATCATTCTTATGCAGAAATCCCCTGAATTAAATACCTTATAGACAGAGTATTTGTCATGACTGATTTAACAATTTGCTTGCAAGTTCTCGTAAATCCACATTAATGTCATATCTGCATTTCAGTAACCACCATAAGATGACCATTATACTATATCCCATGTAATGATTACAGTTATCCTTTTATCTTCTAACTTGATGAAATTTATATTTTCTGGTTCATATGGAACTTCTGGGCTTTTGTAAGATAAATGTTCAGCATGTTACGATGAGCACTAAATGCAAAATTTTATAAGGTTGTTGATGATGTTACAAATAATTGTTAATGTTTTGTAAAACGAAATTAATGTATAAGCAATTGATAGTGTTAGCACATAATTGTTTAAATTTTATTGTGATCAACATGACATTTATTGCATTATTCTGCTGTACCATATAAAAATTTCGACAGTTGTATGCTTATTACTGTGTTTTAATCATCATGCAAACCTTAATACATAATTGATCTAGTTGGTAGTAGTTTTCTCATTTTATGCATATTTTAAGGAGGTTCATGTATTACAGTTCCTTTCCTAAATCTCCTCCATCATTTGTGAAGGTTGCTCCATGTATTTTCAGTTAATGAAATGCTTTCTTGGTTAACAAATATTTGTTTTATATCCTTAATAATTTAATCAATAACTTTTAACATGTTTTTGGCCAATGTAGTGCATACGTAGTTGTGAGTCCAGTTATTCTATATGGGTTATCATTATAGAAGGATTCCCAACCATGTTATTGTAGTTGGTTGTTACAGTTAGAGCTTGTTGACCAATTTGAGATTGATGCTGTATTCAGGTTATTTATCAAGTGACATCACTTCTAATGCTTATAGACAATTATTTAACATTCTTTATATGTTCTCGTATGTGTCTAGACAGATATTACATATATCTATTTTTCGCATATAAAGTATGGGTTGACATTCTTTTGAGATTCTCTAGGGTGATGATAGAAAGTACATCTTCATTGGTATAGATGACACACTTAGCATTGGAATTCGTGGTCCATCAAATTTATTTGGTCATCCAACTGAGAAGAGAATGGCTGTTGTGGAGTCTGAACTGCAATATTGGGATGTTTATCCCAGTGATTCAGTAACAAAAATATTATTTGGGCACTTTCCAATGTCTTTTACAGCTTCATCTGAAAAAGGACAGCGTTATGAAAGTTTATTTGCAAGGCAATCAGTTTCCTCGTACATTTGTGGCCACCTGCATGGAAATTTCAGCAGACAACTTTGGAGACTCCATCCGTCAAAATTGTCATCTGATGTTTTAGTTCCAAGAAAGGCTAAAGGCTTTTGGGAATGGGAACTAGGAGATTGGAAAGAGTCCAGATTGATCAGAATTTTGTCCATTGATGGAGGGGTGGTCTCTTTCCATGATATCGAGCTTCTGAGAAAACATGATGTCCGGGATGAATTCCAAACAACTATTGTCATAACATATCCTGCTGACTCGAGAAACATGAACAATATGGAGCAAAATAATCAGTCTTTTAGGAATGATATCAATGCTCTTGTCTTTTCTACTCAGCAAATAATTAATGTGACTGCTAAGGTTTTTGACTCATTCAGGGAGTACAAAATAATGGAAGAAGTGCCGCTGCAGCTTATTAGTGCTGTTGACAAGCCCCTCTTTCATGGAAAATGGAACGCTGAAAGTTATCGGAGTGCATCAGCAACACGTTACCTTTTGCAGGTGTCTGTGGTGGACTCTCAGGGCAAGGAGACTAAAAGCAATCTCCGACCATTTTCCGTCGAAGGTAAACTGGCACATTATGCAAGTACTTGGCTGGCTTATTTGGTTTTCCAAGTTGAGTGGCAGAGTCTATATATGGTTCTTTTGTGGAGCAACTTCTCCTTTCTTGTTGTATTTTTGTGCCTTCCAAAAGTACTAAATTATCTTATGGAGAGAAATGCATCATATCAGAAGTGGGCTACGTCTCACGTCATTTCGTCGCCAATCAAGCGGAGGAAGAGCCTATTTGTGTTATTTTGGTTCTTGATGGAGGGTTCAAGGAATAGAATTCTGTGGTTTTCCATGGTGATGTATCTTCTTTGCCTGCTCAAGTTACCATGGTTCTGGGGTTATGCAACATCCGAGAATGAGAACATTGCTGCTATGTATTTATCTGGCTGGAGGGTGCAGTCTCCGGATAGTCATGCAATTTTAGACAAGCTGGGCAACCCTGATCTGATGGTTATCACATTGCCTTTCATGTATTTGGTGGTCACACCTATGTTTATTCTCATTTATAGTCTCTTTGCAGAAAGATCATCATTTTATTTACAGTTCTGTAGGAAACTGAGGCACAAGAATGGGCCAGTGGCTTCTAATATTGAATTAGAACAGGTGACTCAATTTGTTCCATCGAATTTGACGAGGGGCATAAGTACATCTTCAACATGCAAGTTTTGTCAGGGTTGGACCAGAGGGTCTCTTCTGTCGGGGTGTTTAATCATTACTCTTGTTCATTTCAAGGTAATCAATTACCAAGTTGTGCAAAATATTTCTATATATTTGGAATTTTGTTGGTTGATGCGTTACATATGTGCTACATTTCTGGTTCTGTACAGATATGTTTGGCCCTCATGCTTGCTTATGGAGTAGGACCTGTTTCCTTATCACCTGCCTTGTCATGGGCACCACCTGTATTTTTGGTGGCAACCATATATTCTACGAGTGCCAACATAAATACCGAACAAAGATGAGAACCAAGGGATGTGTCTACATGTAAATAAATTGGATTGTAAATCATTCTATGATTTACATCTCGGCCTTGAATAGCTTTGGTGAGTGCATCACAGTACAGCCCGATTGGTTCCACCTGTGGACATGATATTGTAGAAGACATTGTCCGTTTGGTACTTGGTGCAATGCTAAGACTTCGCTTAAGGCTATGCTGTGATGATTGCAATACTAAATCATTTGTTGTTTAACATGGATGAATTAGGTTGTTTATTTAGCTGTGAGGTCTATGTTTTGGTCTATAAGATCATCCATGGATGATGCTGAATAGTAGTAAGCACACTGTCTTAGGATAGGGTTATTGATGCCGTATCCTGTGAAAGGGGTCAGTCAGCAGCATCACCTCGATCACCTTAGTTACTACCGGCCAATTTTTCGTGGTCATCAACGTCGCCGCGTCGGCGGGTGAGGGACCCACTCAACCGCACAAGGACGCTGCGAGTCCGCACCCGCACCCGCTCCCATCCCCTTTCCTCCGCATATCTGCCATGGCGCTCCCCGGCCTGACCCTCCGCTCCTTGTTTGCCTCCTTCCAACATCACCCCACCACGGCCGCCGCCACCAACGGAGCTTCCCTCTCCCCTTCTCCATCTCTTCCATCCCCTTCCCATCTCCAACCGTCCATCCGTTTCAAGCCTAAAAGTAATTTCTGTTCCGCTGGAAGACTCAGGTCGTCCTCTTCAGCAGTCCCTGCCGCGCTCGCACAAAGTACCAAACCCATCAAACTCACGTATCTGGAGGTGCTCTCTCTCTCTCTCTCTCTCTCTCTCTCTCTCTCTCATCACCCCTTTGATGCGTCTCCAAAAGATCTACCAGCAAGTCGTCCTCCTCAACACCAAACCGTCAGGTCGTCCCCTTCGGCAGTCCCTGCCTTACGCGATGTTATCTGTACATTTTATGTTTAGGGCAACAGCTGGTTGTGGGAGTTGGGCGGGGTCAACATCTTGGTGGACCCGATTCTCGTGGGCAACTTGGACTTCGGTCAACCTTGGCTTTTTGATGGAGCTAAGAAGATCCTGAAGAACTTTAAGGTGATGATGATTTCTTCTGCTCGTAACAAATATTGTTGATATGACGATTAGGGTTGATCGAGTTGATTTCCTGAGGCAGCTGCAGGACCTTCCCGACCTTGATTGCTTGCTGATCACGCAGAGCCTGGACGACCACTGCCATGTCAAGACCCTGACACCCCTCTCGAAGATGCTTCCTGGCTTGCCCGTCATCTCCACTCCTAATGCAGAGGCCATCCTGAGCAAGCTATTTAAGAATGTAAGCCTCTCGACCTTTCTTGGACGAATTAAATTAGCTGACATGGTTCCATAATTGTTGACATGTGCCTCGGTTGTAACTTTCACCATGGGTCTCTGGACTTACTGATGATGGACTTCATTCTTGTTGTTAGTGATTGTTAGTTTGCTAGTTTAAGTTTCTGGATGGGACGTCCCATCCAGACCAATTATTAGATCCGTGTTACTTTAACGAGGCAGAGTGCATAACATACTGAATTCATACTGAAGTGGCATTAAGCTGCTTGGCTCTACTTAATTCCGTTGCAGAGCTTCTAAGGTCTCTGGAAGATTAATGGGGCTATCCACGATGGCTTTTGGGTAGTATGAAATGTCTGAACAGTTTCATGCTAACTGGTGGATTGCATTAGTGTATGTTTAGAATAATTTAGATTTACGAAATAAGGAACAGTTATCGTTATGATGGTTAACGATTGAACTTTATTTCCTCTTTTTTTAGCTTTTGCTGTTGAACAATCAGTCTCCTCTTTGAGTTCAGTACTGTTATCCTTCTTGTCTGTTGATCTCCTGTAATTCTTCAACATCACATTCTCAAAATAGTTCGAAGCCCTATATACTTTGTGTAACCTGAATGAATTATATATTGCTATCAAAGTGAATCACCACAAAGACGATCTGGAGATGAAATGAAAGCAGTGGCACCATATAGATAACTTCATCTATGGCTGAGTGAGCATCTTGTCATTGCATGCAATTTTTTTTTTTTTGGTGCTTATTCTAGTGCATTTGAATTTTTTTTACAGGTTACATATTTAGAACCTGGTCAAAGCATTGATGTGGAAGTGAAAGATAGAGGTATGGTCAATGTCTGTGCAACTGCAGGTCCAATATTAGGGCCTCCTTGGCAGAGACCGGAAAACGGGCAAGTAGATTATATCTTAGGCTGATGGTTGCTACTCTTTTACAATTTCCTAGAAATTTTTAGGTTTTCAAACTTCATTTTAGCAGGAGTGTTTTACCTGTAATTTGTGGACAGGTACATAGTTGAATCTGGCCAAAGTCATTTAACTGTATACTATGAGCCGCACTGTGTATACAACCATTCCTTTCTACAAAATTACCAGGCTGATATAGTCATCACACCAGTCATCAAACAAATGCTTCCTGCTTTCACTTTGGTCTCAGGACAAGAAGATGCAGTGCAGCTTGCTAAGTTGTTGAAAGCCAAGTAACTTACTACAACCGAAATTGTTCTTTTACTGTCATATACATCAATATTGACTAGCTGAAAATTATGTCTCTCTTTTTTAGGTACATTGTTCCAATGAAAAATGGTGATCTGGATACTAAAGGAATTATCACAAGTATACTCTATGATGTGGGTACAACAGAATCTTTCAAGGTAAATAAACTGAAACCTTGGGAGTTGAAGCATGCAAGACCATATTGCCAAATGTATGTTTGCACCTTTGTGAACAGAACTAGATGTGACATCAAGAAACCTCCATAACAAACATAAATCATACAAATGAGATTTTAACTAGGCCATGAGCTTTTACATCTAGTTTTGTCTCTAGGAAAATTTTGCTTGAACTAACATTTTTTCCCTCAAGGAAGCTTAAAATAATATCTGAGATATGTAAAGCAATAAACTGCTATCAAAGCTGTCTCGAACCCTCGAGTAGTACCAGTCTGCTATCAATTCATAAGGAATTAAATAAATTCACATATTATGCTATATCTTGATGCTTAACCATTAGGGATCAGGTAGCATAGTGCTAAAATTTGAAACAAACCAGTGATGATTAAACTTCCAGGAAGCAAACTTGGCCTTCAACCTCTTCAATTTTGTTGTACATGAGAACTCCAATAGTGAGTATTAAGTGTTCTGTAGTTTCTTTATATAACACAAGACCTTTGTTGATACTTGTTGGTAGGCTCGTGATTTGGTTTATCAGAGCAATAAGCTTATGCATGATAAACCTGGTACCTAACTTTGAAGTCCACGATGTCTGGGTTCAACCATCTGTGCTAACTCTATTTAGAGTTTAATTTTCTAGAAGATGGTGCTCTTTATTGAGCATAGCAAATTTGACTGTGCTTAATAAATGATTACTAAAGTAGTTGGGAGGAAGGATCAAAAGAGTTGACCTAGATAGATAATCCTGATTAAGCCAACATCAACCTTTTTCAGGTGTCTGTAACTAGCTATCTGGCAAAATGGAAGTCTTGTTATACCCATGATGCACTTCTATCATTAATCTGAAACAATATTCTTTGGAACATGTTACTGATATCCACCAGAATCATGCAGGAATTGCTGTCAAGGGAGCTACCAAATGTCCGAGTGTTGGAGCCTACCCCCGGTATCCCTCTCGAGATACCTGTGGCTTCGGTTGTCTCATAGTGTAGAAGGAACTTACAACGACATGTAAGTGTCTTCAAATGTTTCATACCTCTGTCATATACTCCGGAAAGCTCTTGGTCAGAAGAGAATTAGAATTTTCTTGGCATCATTACTCTGACAAATAATGATAGGCTTCATCACTGCACCGAGCAATCTCATTTCTGCAAGTAAGACAACTGTGTGTCTGTTTTCAAACAACTTCAAGTTTCAAGTAAATAACTTAATTGCTAGGATGGTTTTGCATGTTGCAAGTAGCCATTTAATTTGTATAAATACACAGAGATATCATTCCTACATAGGAACCTACAAACAAACAAGTCATCCACTGCAGAATTCTAGAGCTGTAATTTAATGTGTGTATTTTAATAACTGGAATAATCAGGTAAGGAATTCTAATGTAAACTTCGGTATTTGCAGCATCCGATGTTTTCAGAGCGTCGATCCAATCCTAATTCAAAGAAATATGGGAATTCAAATTCCAGTTACGAGTAACGGAGAACAGATGACCGGTCTTATGACAAGAAGCTGGATATTGAATGTGAAATATATAATTTGACCATCATTAATTGCATCATGATATGTTCTATAATTTATGATATTGATTTCATACTAACATGTCCTATTTTTGTATGTCAAATTCATGTATCATCGTTTAAAATAGAAAAATAAGTTTCGTCATAACAATCATCAAAATTAATAGTACAATCATTATTGCTCCTTAAAGCGATCATAGATTTATTATTATGTTATATCTCTATAATACAAGCATGAGATTCAAATTTAATTTTATATCATTTATCATATAATTGACTAATACTTAATAAGTTATATTTTAAATCATCTACTAACAAAAAGATTTGATTTGATACCAAGAATTTCAATACCAATGTTCTTTGCTTTATTTTTGTTATTTTGGTTAGTGAGCTTTGAAAAATGTGTTGGATCTCCAATCATATGCCTTGAGCATCCAGTACGAAGATATCATTTAGAGATATCATCTAGATTTGTTCGAAGTACCGATTTAATTTTGGGATCTTCATAATTATATATACTTTTCTTGACTTTTGGCATCAAATCATTTAAGGTTCCTTTAGCAATCCAAACTAATTTATGAGAATTATATTTTTTAAAGAATATGTATAAGTATACGGAGCAAATCTTTTATAAAAATCATATTTATCTTTAGGGAAAACATGTAGTGTAGGTCTTTTTTTGAATTTTGTTGCTTTTGTTGAGTATTACTATTCACAAAGTCGATTCCTTTCTTTCTATGCACATAACCTTTGCTAGCAAGAATCATATTTAATGATTTATTTCTAATTTAAAATTTTTCTAATGTTTATTGTAATAACATATATATTTTTTTTAACGAGTCTACCTCTTTACATTTAGCACAAGATGTTAACATGCAATTGTCATTCTTAATTTTTAATTTATCAAAGTTATTAGAGAAAGATACATGATCATTTTTTAATAATTTATATTTCTTACTAATTATTTTAAATTCATCATATAAATTATGAAATATATTAAATAATTCATCATAAGATAAGGAGATTTTAGGTGAGTCACGTACCACGTCGTTGAAAGCCATCAATACGTAATTAGCCACTTCGTCTTCATTGGTTTGCTCTTTATCTTTTGACGCGTTTGATTTATCCCATATTACTTTATAATCATGGATTACTAAGGAAGTAGTCTTTGACGTGGAACCTTGATCGGTTTTAGTTGGTAAACTTGTGGACTGAGACGTCATCATGGGCACTTTCATTTATCTACCCATGAGCAAATTAACTCTTTGTAGGTGCTTGTAATGCAATTTTTGTAGTTATACATATTTTTTTACGAAATAACATCTATACTATTTCTCTATTGTTGTATTATTGTGCTGAAGAGAAATTCTACCTTTTTGAGACTATCCAGTAAAATAGCATTAAATTTTCACTTCATTTTGTTATTATGGTGTTTTTTTAGCAAAACAATATTTGTTCTTCTCTGTTAAATTTTCACCAGAATTCTACGTTGTTGTTAGTATTGTTGTTGCGATTAGAATTAATTTGCTTTTTAATACGATACGTCAAAATCACACCAACTTTTCACTTTTGGTCATCTATTTCCGTGAAACGATCTACGATTTCGCTAGTGTCATACTATTAAGTCAAAAAGAATTTGAAATCGTGCAAACTACTTACAAGATTTTTATCGTATCTTGTTTTCTACTAAACAATGTGCATGACTTCTTTGGTATCGTATTGTTAGGTCAGGTGAAAATAGTATTATTGTTACCATATTATTATAATTTCAAGTCGAGATTGCTTGAAAATTTTCATTTTCGATAACTTTTTATTTGTCATACTTTTTTCTGTAAAACAACATTCATACGTACTGAATAAATTTATATACGTACGAATTTTCAATCCATGCAGTTTAATTTCATAATTTTGTATGCATACCAAACAACACGAAAAAAAAGAGAACATAGAAGTCGCTGCACCCACAATTGTATAAACAGAGGCAATTTTCGATCATAAAATTAGGAAAAATCACTGTTGAAACTTGTTGCCGAAGCAAGCTGTCGACGGATGACGACAAGCTTTTCCCTCTGAGTGGGTAAAGAAATATTTACCTGATGTTTCAATGTGGCTCGGACATATGTGATCATGTCTAACTGTAGTTTCCCTTGATCAAATAGAGATGGAAACTAACCATGAAAAATAGTTGAGAACCACTGACCTTAGCTGCGATTGACCGGTGTTCTACCGCATTTGCATTGGATGTCGTAGGCAACACCAAACTAACACCAAAATTCAGAAGCATCTACTAGAAATTTTCTTCTGTAGCATAATGTAAATTACTGCAAGACCGAATCTTTCAGTTACAGAAAGAAAATGGCGAGTTTTACATCGTTCTGACGACGGAGATCATAAAGCACAATGGGCCATAGGAAAGATAAGTTCCCATGAAGAAAATAAAATCAGAGTTGCTAAAGAAGAGCTTACAAACCAATTGAAAGCTTGTCCTTGTTTCTGGTTTCAAAAGTTATTTAACACCAGCAAATTTCATATAGAACAAGAGATAAAGAAGCTAGCTTATCAAGGCTACTACAAAAGCAACAACCAAAAAAAAAATCTTCCCTTATGCTGACACATGGTATATGCATGAATGGCCGATATGATACCTAACAGTCGACCACCCTTGCAGATGAAATAATCATCACGTAAGCACCCGATTATTCATCATCCTCCAATATGCTCCAGATCATCCTACACAATTTTACGCAAGAAAGCAACAGTTAGCCTGTTTTGCACTAGTCAGGATCTTATTTGAACAACATATTTCATTTTTACCAAAACAAAGTCAAGAACAGAAGGATAACAAGAGTGACGAGCTTGAAAAGGCGCCGTTTCTTTTCTCTATTGAGCTGATTAAATATCTCAGTTACATCTATCAGATGTTGCCGTCGCTGATACCTGTAAAAAGATCACAAATCAGTCAGTGATTCCAAATCTTTTTAATCCACATAATACATGCAGCAGCTTTGAACAATAATGATTAGATCTTCATCACTTATAAGAAAAAAATAGCACCTTGTTTCATGCATGTGGGGCCTAGATAAGAACACAAGACACAACTCGAAGTACGGAAAGCCCAATGAAATGTGCCCCGAGTTTTATGAGTTGGCTCTCGGTCTGACATCAACTGTCGCTCTTTTTAACTCTTTGAATTGGCATTTCTAGCCTACAAATTGCCTATTCTTACATCAATGCATACTATATATTTTCTAAATACGATAATTTTCAAAGATAAAAAACAGAACATTTTCAATCATTTTTATAGTTCATTTATTTAAAAATAATATAGGTGGAAAAGATAGTTTTGATTCAAAATTGCATAAAAGTAAGATATACAGCTTGTTCTGAATTGAAAAGGATATATTGCTTGTTGAGATGCATGAACGTGGACATTTCATCATTTTTGAGTCAAGTTACATGCTGGTGCCAAGAGTGTTTTACTGGTAAGATTCAAATATTTATCCAACCATTCAGACTGACAAGGAATCTAACTATGTTATATAAAATCCAATAACTTAAATTTTTTTTACCACTAAACTATTATTTAGGTTTAGTGACACATCTGTCTCGTCTCTAATATTCGTTATTTCACATAAGGTCTTGACAAGTTGATGCCTGAACAGTTCTAAATCTCTGGATCCTTCTTGACTTGGAGTTATGCTCTACGACAGACGTATATAGAACAAGGCTTTGATGATGATCTCCTATTTAATTTGCTCTGCATGGTTGTAGTCCATTGAGAAAAATAGCCTTTAGTCAACATCTATATCTGGATACTATCTATTAAAATAATCTGTACAAGCACAGAAAGGAACGGCATTGGTGCACAGCGATTACATTGTTCGAACAATGTACAGTACAACCACATACCACATAAAGAGGGCTTTCAGCCATCTTTTCAATATTACACTTGCACTATAAGATAATTAAGGTACTTACCAAAAAAATAAGATAATAAGGATCATATGACATGGTTAACAATAAGTTAGGAATATTTTTTGATTTATCTTTCATGCAATGACATACTATATGTATAAAAAAAGTATGAGAGCAACTTACAGTCTCACATTGTAGTAAAGATTTGGAACACAAAGCAAGAACATCAACCAATTTCCAGATAAGAGAAAGAGTAAGCACAAGGCTCCTTGTAAGGCAAACTCTGGATATATCACTTTATTTATCCGTGAAGCTGAATCATATGGATTGATATAATCAAACTCTAGGTCTGCAAGGCACATGAGCTGCAAAACACAATATAAAATACATAATTATTCAGGAAAAAAGTGATTCAGTGTGGTATCAAAAGGTAAGCGAAGCATACCAAGTTATCGAACACAACTGGAATATTTTATAGAAGCTAACTACTACATGGACAGGCAAAAGCGGATCATCAATGTCCAGTTCACAACTGATGTTTCAAAAAATAAAATGATACAGAATGTTATATGAAAATTATAATTATTCTTATGCTTTGAAACTTAATCTCGGCAGTAATAAGTTACCAACAAACTAGCACCTGTTAAGTTAATCGTAATGAAGCACAATATTATACAGAAACTAATCTCAATAGCTTACACTACTGGGATCCATCCTAATTTCCTGTGATCACAATTGCAAATGAAGCAGACAATGACAAAAACAAAGTCACATAAGGACAAGCACAAGATTTTTGTGAAATCTGGACTGAACTTAAATGGCTGAATCAGATGCTAGCTATTTTTTCAACCTATGCAACACTATGAAATTAATTGTGGCTCTTGCGAATATGGAAGTGTGCTTGGAGAAGCCCATAGTGATGTTAAGAGCTAAAAGAAGATGGATGAAGTAACAAATTACAGTTTTTTTTAAGAAAGACCAAATCACTTTTTTACTAAACAATTTTGGGAAAAATATTTGGCTCTATGAGCCCCATAAATTTTAGTGTCACATATGATCATCATCATTATCATAATTAACCGATTTAAGAAGAATACATTTGCAATCAGCATGCTAATCCTAAGAATTCTGGTGTGCATGCTAAAAGATTATCCTTGTAACTTAAAGCAGCATTTTGGTCTTGTAAATATGGACAATTCATACTAGTTGTGACACTTGCATGACAGAAAGACACGTTGGATACTTCCTGGATATGCATTGTACACTTCATTGTAAGCACTCAATATTTTAATTAATTATTAAAATGCTTAATAATTATAAAATTTTATGATACTTTGGATACACTTTGTGGATCATCCTCGGAAAATATTTGTTTTCCTTTAAGTGTCAAAGTTTCAAGATAAATGATGAATGGGTATGTACTAGATAAGTTATTTCTAAGTTGTATAAGGTATCAGATCATGATCAAATCCATCATCAGTTACTATCTTACCAAATATAATTTTTCACAAAGAATTGTTTAGGCTGCTAGTTCATTACTTGTGACATCTAACTGCATGTTCCAACACTACAAAAGAAATATCAAGTTTTGTCATATAATAACTTCATATGTTGTGTCCATGGGGTATCTTACATTGGTTTTCCATGTTTTGATGTATCAATGTATTTATATTGTCATATCAGTATCAGAAATCTGTGTCCATGCCTCATAGTTTTGGTTAATCACATTCAAGGCAAAAATCATCCAAAACCACCATATCCAAGGAATCCTCCATCAAGGAAATGACACTGATAGGGAACGATGACAATGGGCATCGATATGAGGCTTAGGAGAAGGTAAAGGTAGACCCTAATAGCTGAGGACTATCAGATCCAAATCTTATAATAATAAGATAGTTGGAGGAGATGAGTAACTAATATTATGGATGTTGTTAAAAGCGACAAAAGTTATTAACTTCCACAACGAAAAGATATAAAGTAGTTGTCACAATTATCAAGGATTGTTTGTAATGAAGATGTTCGATGCAATGTTTGTGCTTTTTGATTTTGTTCATGCCTTAGACAACATGTAAGGGTCTTGCAATAGGCTTGGGAATCCTATTTTGGTTGAGTTTTATGATCCTCTTTGCTTGTAAGTGTAACTTGTGTGTGAACGTCATGTGAAAGCAAAACTATCCAAATCGGAGCATTCAGCCCACAAATTGTGAGGTTTTTCATATGCAGAGAGTGGGCAAATATGTCAACCATCCTCGGGAACCTAAGATGGCATATGGTTCGATGAGGCTCCTCGGTTGTGTCTAGGGAGGGTTTGTTGCTTGGTTCCACAAAGATGTCATTAAGGACACTTATGCACGGGGACTTTTGTGAGCGACGGGCTGCCTTGGACTCTTTGTTACACTATGCTCAAAGCTTGTGATGTGATCTTTGTAACTTTGCATTACCTATAAAGTATTCGCTTTAATATCTATCTGCTTGTGAGATCTAGAGCAACGATGATTGTTTTCCCGTGCATTTGATCGTTCACTAACCTCTTTTCTCTCTTGTAAGTTCTTAGGGAACCGTTGAGATTACAAGGAGATTGACCCTTTACAGACATATGTAAAGGTGTCACATGACCAAGGCAACATCAACCAAGTCCATGACAGGATACTCCACAGATGTTTCATAAAATTGTCAAATAACTGAAACTCTCTCTCTCTCTCTCTCTCTCTCTCTCTCTCACACACACACACACACACACACACACACACACATTATCCAGCATAAAATACTTATTTGTTGCTAGCATATGTCACTAGGTAACAATAGACGTAGGGATCTATAAAACGAAACTATTTCAAGAATTTCATTTGGATTCAAGAAAACAGAATCCTTTTGCAAGCAGTCCATATAATCACCGGACAACCAGCATTAACATTTAGGAATTTTATATCTTACACCCCAAAATAAATAGTAGATACCAAAGATCTGGCTCTCAATAATTCTATTGGGAGGTCATAGAAAAACTGAGCCAACTGATTCTCGTAAGAAAACCCACTAATTCTGAAAAACCCAACTAAGTCGAAATCAAATTGACCCAAATAACATCGTGACTAAACCCAAGACATATAACTGACCTTGTTACTTTAGGGACAATCATTCGATTTCAAATTGACTCAAATTTGGCTGGCATCGAAGCGACGACGAACTAAAGATTACTTTTCGAGAAATCGATCTGAGAGATAAATTGAAGGATTCGGAGCTATCGCATCAGATCGGCTTTTTTTTTCTCTTCTTCCAAAGGTCAGAAAGGCGGTCAGTGGGGCTAATCGCTGGGGCAAAAATGGAGAGATACCTGATAGATGACGAGGGCGATGAGGACCACGACGAGGAAGAAGGCGGTGAGCCAAACGAACACCATCACCGCGCTCGCCCCTCCGCCGTCGATGTATTCACCGGAGACCGAGGCGGTGGCGGCAGCAAATCGGCCACTCGCTTCGATTCCGACGAGGGTGGGTTGGTCAAAACGGCAGCGAAATCAGCGTATTATAACACTCCCGAGAGAGCCGAGACCATCATCGTTGCCTCGCATCACCGCGCAGATAAAAGACTCGGGTAAGCTATCAATCGGTAGGCGTTCTTTTTAGGGCATGTCGACAAATTAAAGGGCAATTTACTAAGAAAAACCCTTAAAATCGCTTTTCCACAGAAAATTATCCAAGACGCGTTGTTTTTTGTTTGGACAAACATGTCATTATCCATGACGCCTTGTTTTGTGGTCTGACATTAATTATCTTCACATCCTAAATTATGTTGGGGTGATTTGGTTGTCTGACATTAATTAAGCAGATCAATTTATAGCACGTCGAAACAAGAAAATAACTTTCTATTGAAAAACAAATTTCAAACATAGATAAAATAATACATCTGTTTCGTTAGTGGAAACATCAGATCTAATTCAAGCATTAGCACCTCTCAAACTGTCATATCCACCGTATATTATCTTTTTGGGTGTGCATGTACAAATAATTTTGAGTGTAGTGTTAATAATATTATATACATATAATCAATCGTACGATAATAGAAGCTAATAATACAATTAAAAGTAGATGACGAAGATTCATTAATCATTTACCTTTTTCTTCTATTACGATGCACGATTACTAACTTTCACTCAAGTGTTGAACTGTTAACAAATGCAGAGATGATTTCATATATGCGAACATTTTCCTAACCTTTGCTTGAAACGTGTGCCCGAGTAGTAGTTCAATATACAGACATATTATATCTTTACAAGGAATTGAATAAACCATGTGGATTATCATTGACTACACATCATTGACTTTAGTCAAACTATCTTTAACATAAGATTTCTATTTATTCGTCTATAATAGCACACTCCATTACATTATATTGAAGCTCTCAGCTTCCCTCTCATACTAGGGAGTGAAGAGGGCCAACTCATTTTCTCAGCACCTCTACGACTCCACCCAAATGGGCGTGGATTATTTTATTCAGAAAAAGGGATCCTCTTGCAGTGAGCAAAATAATGATAATTAACCAAAGATGAAATAAAAAAAAAAATAGAAAGGAGTGACTAATCCAGTTATACAGGGTTTGCGGGGGAAAACCTTTACCGAGAGGTGAGGTCTGCAAGGCTTGGTGGCTTCTATGACTCTTACAAAGATTGTGGTGGAACCGACCAGCTTGAAAGAGAGGAAATCTCCAAAGCGTCGAAATGCAATAGGGGTTGAAACAGGATCCACCGTCTTCAACAGGGAAAAAGGAAGGGTATATATGCTGCATCAGCCTTCAAAGAGATTATTGCGGAGAAACAGTTCCTGGAGAAAGAAAACTGAAAAGGGAATTAAAGCATCCAAAGCAGAAGCAGTGCAGCATTTTATGGCGTAGGAAGGGGATTGCACCTGTTGCTTCGTTTGCTCAACCAGAATAACGCTGGACCGCTTCAGCAGCCAGACCGGTCCAGTGCATTTGGCGACAGATATGATTTACTTTCTGCAAATTGAGGGGCTCTCTGCAGAAAAAAACTGGAAATAGAAGCCCAATCAGAGGAAAGTTATATACAAAATGATGGAATACTACAATGAAAAGCATTGGACTGTTTAAACATGTTACAGATGTTCATCCGATGAAGACAATGAATGGTGTAAGTAGATACACCTAGAAAAACTACATCGGATTTAACACTGTATCTGATTGGATAGTAATAAGTTATTAGGCACAAGTATTCACCTGTTGAATAGATTCATTTTTTGGGTTCTTGTGCAACTATGGTGAGCAACCTTGAACGATCAGTCAATTTGGCCACAGCTTATACACAAGAGAGCCATGATGGCAGAGTCAACAAACACCGGAAAAAACATTGCAAAGTGCATGATGAAGTTTCTTACCCTTCTTTTCTGAATCCAACTCAAATAAAATGTTGCAAGCATCCTTAACTGGCAGTGAAGTGATTAGAACAAACCTCGTGCAGTGATCAGAACAAACATCAGGGAGGAAGCAAAGTGGCTGCTTAGAAGCAACAAACATCTCTATCTAATCGGATGCCTCTGCAGGTTTTGAGGTTTCCGTTTCCCTCTGATTTTCCAAAGCTATGACATATGCCTGTGAAGGGCCTTCATAGCATTCATCAAAATTTTCATAGATGCCTTTCACCTGGAAAAACAAGCATCTATTCATCATTATGAATAAATATAAACTATCATATAACAGGCAAGTTCGAGAATGAACTAAATAGACCAATAGCCATTGCAAAAGCATCAGTATTTTTTTGTAGTTACTGAAATTATTAGTCTGCAATTGAAAAGTAAATGAATAAATAGAATCTATGTTAAAAAAAACACTAAGAATTTAAGCATTTCTAGCATATCAGAGTACCCCTTTCTTAGGTCGGAATATCAAAAGCAAAATTGACATCACAAAGGTCAATTTTAAGTTGTTAACATATCAAGAATATGCTAAACATAGCTAGCATGATCTTCATAGCAACACACTATAACATGGTTTTGAAGATGAAGCGGAAAATAATAGATCACTTGATGTCATGAATTTCCCATTCCTAGAGGCATGCACTTCCACTGCTCAGTAGTCAGTACTCCAAGTTTGGTATTTGTTTTTTTCTCTCTTATATTTTGTCAGGGAATCGGAGAATGTGAAGTTAAAGCATAGGGAGAATACAAGGAGCAAGCATATGATCTCTCCTCTTCTCTTGTTCACTTCCTTTGCTTCAGATTCTGAACATAAAAATAGACTGGTTAAATCAAAGCATACAGAGCTTTTTGCAAAGATCTTTAGATATTTACCTCTCGTTCAAGCATAATGCAAAAGTTCCCACTTATCTTTATTAATTACCACACGAATGTATGTCATCATGTGGCCACATTGCATAAGATCTGATGGTCTCAATATATGCAACCATATATGCAGTCACATAAGCATAATAACATATTTGAGCATGTGGTTTGTGTTTACTTTGCATTACTATTTTTCTAATACTGGTCCACGATACCAAGGTTTTTAATCTCGACCAGTTCAGCACAATTTGGCTTGTTGTATCTATTGGACTGATCCACAAATGGGATGCAGATCCTAAAGTGGGCATGACAATTAAGTACTTCGGCCAATTTAGAGTATTTAAGCAAAAATATCTTATACCAGATTAGGGAAGATCAATTATTGTCGATAACTAAGGTACCTTGGTATCAAACCAAGGTATTAAATATTAGTTGAACTAATACATACATACAACAACAATAATTAAATTGTAAGTCCTAATTATTTGGGAACGACTATATGGATCTTTTGTCATCATTTAGATATGTAAAAAAATCATATGTTTAGTTAAGTTAAGAGTATTTAAATATTTATTTATAGTTTTTATTAAAATCTTTTTATGTCATCCTTTATCTCTCCTCATGCCACTAACGGTAATCATTTTATCTTTTTTAACTACCGCATCCATAGATCTCTTAAGCACATATCCATGTCATCTTAAACGATTCTCGCAGATATTTATTTACCAATCTGACCAAAGATCAATAGTAAACCACATAGCTCTGTACCATTTGATATACATTTTTATATATTTTTTAATGATGTTTAGTGGTATAAGTTGGCATACCACCTGGTGTATTGTCCTATGCCAGCCCAACAAATTGTGAAAAGACAAGTATTTAAACCTTGAAACATCTAATATGGGGCTCATGGAAACAAATTTCACTATGTGAATCATCTCAAGAAGACATGAGAAGAACCAGAACATAAATGCACATAATCACACTGCAATTGCGTTGCAACTCCCAACATCTACCCATAAAACCGTTGCTAAACTATAATAAATATGAATTATCAAGCACCAACTCATTTTCAATGCCGTATAACATGTGAGGTGGACATCTTGCCAAGGTGATACAACCTTGCCTTTGGCAAGGTTTCACATCTTAAACATTTAGGTTCTCCTTTTCAATTATTAACTCAGGCACAAACTATTGAGTCCTAGCCTACGCTGATACAGAAGGAATCACATTAAAAGTCAGCCAACCGATTTCTCTATCACATTAAGCTCTCCAAGGCCTTCCAAACTAATCCTGCTTTGGAGTCAACCATTCTTCGTGATTGATGGATCGATAGGTAATGGGATGTTAAAACACGATTTATAGCATTCACAGAGGTCTTAGTGGAGATATAGAAACACAGGATTTTCGCTCTATCAATCCATCAACTCATAGAGTACGCGCGAGCAAAAGATCTGAATAAGGTGCGAAGACAAGAAAGGAGAACCTGCTGGGCGATGGCGTCGTGGGCGAGCATATAATCTTTGTCGAGGAGACAGAAACCAGCAACGGACGCCGAGGCGGCGCCCACAAAGAAGGACGCCAACCTCACCCGTAAGAGGAATCCCATGTCTCTCGTCACGCCTTCTTTTCTCTCTTGGGATCGCCTTCCTCGCCCGCTTTGTTCTCCGCCGGCGGCGGCCCCAACGACGACGGCGAATTCTCGAGCTAGGGTCAGCCAAATATTCTTATTCTTATGGGTTCCTCTTAGCGAGAGACACTCGACACAACTGGTCCGGCCGCAGTCTCTTTATGTAGTTGGCCCATTACGGCTCAACGCAGTTGCGCTTCAACTCGAACGAAACATAAACCTGAATGGAACGGTCCAATTGGTCGTGTCACTTGAACCGGTTGTCCGAAAACCTACTACTACATGTACGTCGAGTCGCTCCACCTCCACCTCGTCCGCCGCCTCCCTCTGCCCCCTCGGCTGCCGCGAGAGAGCCGTGCCCTCCGTCCTCTTGCCATCATTCTCTAGAGTTACTTCTCTCCATCCTCTTCTATTTGCCTCCCTGTGTCTTGCTTTTTCTGTCTCTTTCCGCATATCCTATTCTGTATTGCCGTCACTGGGTTTTTTTAGGGTTTGCAATGCCGGTGGCTTATAGTCTATGCTCGATTAGTTGATTGAGGAGGCAAAAACGTTTTGGTTTATACAAATTCTTTCATTCTCCTGAGTTATCGTGCTTTGATTATAGATCTCTAGCATGTTTATTACTCTCAATTCTTTGGCGCATTGCTAAGTGATCATCTGTGAGCATCCTGGTTGGGAAGTCTATAATCTGGTTGATGCTATCTTACTTTACTATAAATGCAGTGGTATAATTCAGGCGATGGCTTAACCTTTGTTTTATTTCTTATGTTTATTGATTTATCTTTTGATACTCAGGAAAATTGGTCCCTGAGTTGGATTGAAGATGAGATTAGAAAAGTGTTGGTTCTGCTCATCGACCGTATATCCGGGACATGGAATTCAATTTGTTCGAAATGATGCAAAGGTAAGTTTTTTTTTTTTTTTCAAATTTAGACGATTAGTTTTAAGCCTTCTTTCATACAACTAGAAAGATGATTTTCATAAGCTGGAGACTTTCACCCCATGAGAATATGATTGTTATTCATAGTATAATAGAATTGGTTGTTTTGCCCTGGTGCTTTAATCTTCTTTACCAGCTGACAGACGTACTTCTTTTTGGTTGTTTATTCCAAATTGGTAGTGCATTTTTTGTGAAGTTATGTTGATGTTATTTGGATCTATTATGATCAAATGAGAATGGTCCTAAATTATCCTGGTCCAACCCTTGGATCATAATTACATAGAATCCTAACAATTAGGTCTCTTTTATGGGAAAAATAATATTATAGATGACAAAGTTCTGTGTGATTATTCTATATTTGTAGGTCTTAATTGCACCACTGATTGTTAAACCTTTCTAATGATTTTTATAATAGTTAGATAGAAACTCTGATACTTGAAGTTACTAAAGTAGGGAAAATCGAAATTACTAGTTTAATTCTGGAGTCAGATTTGATGTTTGAGAATATTCTCGAATTTTGGCAAAATAGGATTTACGATGGTTTAATATATTGTTCAAAGAGGTTTTAGCTGAATCTGATCCATCAATGTGTGGCTGGTACTGATCATTTTGTCGGTAGCTCATCTTGATCCTGATTTTAAAAGATGGCCTTTTGTCAGAATTCTAACATGCATTATGGTCTTTAAGGTTCTCAGAAGTCTATGTCATGCCATGTACTCCATGTGGCAGTTCAGCACCTATAAAGATAGATTCTATTCCAATGAAGTTCCTGTAAAACCAGTTAAATGGTAACATTTTATTCAGTTTTGTCAAAATAGATGCTATACGAAGAATTTCCTAAAAGATGAGTTGAAATTAGATGTTATCATGTTTTATCTTGGTGGTCCATGCTAATATGGGAGGTTTAGAGTCTTATTTTTGTGAGCTTGGCCACCAGACTTTGAAGGAACTTCCAGCCTTGGGTCCATATCAGGTTGTGGTTGATTTGGATCTAATCCGAGCCAAAGAAAAACTGATCGTATCCTATCCAATAATCCCATTGGATTGACAAAAACCAGTCAAGAAAGAACAGGAGTTCTAACTTGGAACCTGATCCAATCCGGTTGATCTCGACAATATTTGTATGTTTTTCCAACATTTGGATTATGTTGGCTATACTAGGATAAAATTTCTAAAACATTCTATGTATTAGTTCATCAAATTGGGTCATTAGTAGATCAAATTGATGTTGACAAGCATCCTGATCCAATTATATATTAGGTAATTAGAACAGATAATTAGTTTGAACTGGTAGACTATCGGATAAAGATTCAATCCATGTGCAGTTCTTATTTGTTTAGATCACATCGTATCTGGTTCATTGGCAGCACATATGTAGGGGAACAACATAAAGAACAAACTATATAGGATCTTAGAGCTAACACATCCTGATGTTCTATAGCCATTTTATGTGGAAAGCACAAGACTAAGGTTCTGCTGCTTGTGATTATTCATGATTCCCTTGTTTATACTCGTGTAGTTTGCTTCTGTTCTTGTGGAATAAATAGCTTATGCTGGTGCTCCATTTGTTGTCCATTGCAGTTTGTCAAGTCTAGTCTAATGCACAATTAACCATGAACCTTTAATGCATAATGGTAAATTTCCTGTTTCTTAGCCTCCTGTGATCAATGGTGAGTATTTTTCTGCAGATATTCCGATTCTGCCGATCGAAATGCCATAAGAACTTCAAAATGAAGAGAAATCCTCGCAAGGTGAAATGGACAAAGGCATATAGACGATTGCATGGGAAGGATATGACACAGGTTAGAAATGCTAATGAGAGACACTTGTGTGTTTGTTTCTTTCCATTGAGAAAAATATATTACAGGATTCACTATCAATGACTCTTTATCATTATCAAGGACTCAACATTCGAGTTTGAAAGGAGACGTAACAGGCCTGAAAGATATGATAGAAATGTTACAGAGATGACACTGAAGGCTATAAAGAAGATTGACAAAATCAGAGTGGATAGGGAGGTTAGACACCACAAAATGAGGTTGGTATCTGCTGCAGAGGCAGCATCTGATTTTTGTTGGCAGTTGATGCATGCATGATTTTTTTCCTCTTTCAATCTGCAATTCATATTTCTGATCTGTCATTTTCATATCTTGTAGGATGAAGGGTAAAAAGGCATTTGAGCAGCAGGCAGCAATTAAGGAGTTGGAGAACAGTATTGATTTGGTCAAAGCACCTGTTGCCCTGCAACAGGATTCACAATTTACTCTTGCAAAGATTAAAGTCAAGGTTTCTCAATCACAGCCTGAGGGAGAGCGCATGGAAGAATAATGCATCGCCGAATCTTAGGAGTCTTGTTGAGTTTTGTTTTGTGTTTTTGTGTGCTCGACTGCCTGTCATGGTTAATATGTGGTTCCTTGAATATTCTTATGTGAAAAATGGATACTTTGCTATTATTAGCTGAAATAGTATCCAAAAAATTTGTTGTGCCGGTCGTTATTGAAGGTCCCTCGACGGACACGATTTTTGTGAACCTTTCTTTGTACCAAGCAAAAAGCTTCTGGTATGACCTAGATTTCGCAGCAATCCTAAATGTTGGAGTTTTTTCTTATTTATGTTTATAGAAGCAGACTTGCGCCTTTACCGAAAACAACAACTTTCTACTTCATTTTCTGCCAAAATAATATGCAGTCTCATTCTTTGTTAATCCTTAAATGTACGACACGGGAGATTTTGTGAACCTCTTTCCCTAGAAAATATCTAAATTTCACACCAAAATGTTGATATTCCCTTCGAACTCAATTGTCAAAAAGATGTTGATTTGGATCACACCAACTCATTCTCATTCAAGACTCTGGATCACCTTGCAGTGTCGATCGTCTACGGCTTGGTTGGAATTAATACTGATATCCCCGTCTAGCTTCGCGAAGCTGCATGCGGAGGAAACCACGAAGCAGAGACCAGCAGGCCGAGGGGCACACCATCTGCAGCTACTCATCGTCAGACCGCAGTCTACCAACCACCCGACAAGCAGTGGCCGCCACCGGCATCGGCCGTGACAGCCCTACTACTTTTCACGCGGTGACTGTGAGAGAGAGGCAGGCTATTGATGGTAGGATCTGTGGATCTGTCTCACCATATATTTTAACGTCAACTAGAATTATCTTTTTCATTTAAAAAGTTATGGTATGAAATCTTATCCTACAAATTTAAATCATATATATAATATTATTTTATTTCTATTGGACTCATCATTATCTTCGTCCTTGTCTTCGTAGGCTCGTTGGCCCTTGCTATGTGTCTTGTTTTGTATCGTTTTCTCTCATGACATAAGTGGCCAGCATCGTCACCCTACCTCTCCTCTAGTCCCTCGGACCTGTCTCTATTGTGAGAGACCCAATTAACTCTCATTAGATTTGTCCCTACATGTCTCGCTCTTATTGTCCTCGTTCGTGGTATAAGCGACCATCGATGAAGATAACTTTTGAAGAAGAAAGAAGGAGATTATAGCTCCTGTCCAACAATAAAAAGAAACAAAGGGTAAAGCTCTTTCGATAACTTTTGATTTTTTTTTCCCCGCTTTTGCACCATGTTCTTACTCATCTCGCGAACTAATGTTTTGTTGTCTGATGTACCAAAATTTGGCCGCTATTATATCTCATATCTAAATCAACTCACCTCTTCCAAATTCGCTGGTTACATTGGATGGTGAGAACTCGAGCTGCCTCAACTCGAGATGCTGATGCAGGAATCTGTGAACTGAAAAGTAGCATGGCTTTCCCATGCTTATGGGCAAAGAAACATCATCTGAAATCTGAAATCAATTTATTTGTGAACTCGAGCCTCAACCATGGCTTTCGCCATGACCTTGAGTTATATATGCAGCCAGAAGGCCAAAATATTTTAGCTCGTGCACTCCAATATTTTACCCATTATCTCGGATCGATCAATTGGTTAACATCACGTATAACTAGATTCGAGTGATACATGAGGATAATAAAAATACTTCTTTTATCATAAAAAATAATATATATTGCTATCATATCATGCCCAAGGTTTGAAGGATGTCGAAGCCACGTACCAACGAATGATAAATAAAATGTTTAAATCATATACTAGACAAAATATGAAGGTTTATATAACTAAGTGTACCTTCAAAGCCCAATCGATAAGGTTCATAGAGTTCATCATTCACAACTATTTGTCACCCCACCACAACTCACCTCTATTGACCCGTAGGATAAACTTTATCTCTACTTGACCATCACCTCTTCCATAATTAGTTTGGTTTTAATTCGAGAAGTAGAAGGTGTCGTATGCCCTATGCCATAATTAGTTTGGTTTTAATTCGAGAAGTAGAAGTAGAATCCAATCTAACATTTCAATCATATGGTGAGTGAGGACGAATTGTTGTATCTGACCTATGCCCTAATACGGGCTTGAAAACTTCGACCATACTTTCAAGTGCATACCATCTATGTGATGATCAACCAACCTCTTTGGCTAATTCTTTCGAAGCCTGATGTCTAAGAAGGCTATTGAAGTGGTTAGTTAGGCTCGAAGAATTCAACACCACTACGCTCCAAGGATAATAATCAAAGCTCAAGCGTTGGCTCCTAAAGATCACCTAGCAAATCCCTAAGGACCTTAATGCAAATAAAAAATATGTTTTATTCTACAAGGACCCAACAAGCAGACCTACAAGCACACCCTCTACTTCAACTTCAAAGTCACCAACAACATGGACGAGTATGAGACATGGCTGATCGCACTTTGGCTAGCTCACGAGATCCTTATTAAAAACTAGTGATCTTTTATACGATGACAAGATATGTGATTGAGGTCAAAAAATTAAGTTTTCTTTTATATACGTACAATTATGAGAGTACTTTTTAACTTAAATATCTTGGAAACTTATGAATGTTATTAATAGATAGCAAATTTTCAATTTAGTTACGTGGGGTCATTCTTAAGAGCAGCATCATACAGTACCTTTTTGCATGGAAAATGTGGAGTCGGGAAGGGCCTAACGAGGAGATTGATATTAGTTTTTTATATTTTGATAATTAAAAAAAAGGTGAGTGACTGAACTAGATTATGAAGGATTACCCTTCATACATAATCTATTGTCTTTAGCTGATTTGAAAGGCAGGAAATGAGACTGTATTAGATGATGTTAAGGGTAATCAATCCTTAGACTATTATTTTTCATGGTATACATATTTGAACTAATCCGATGGAAATTCGAGGGAATGTCAAATCTTTATAACATGGGCTAAGCTAAAAAACAAGTGGTTAGATGATCTTATGATTTGTGGGATGATCTAATCATGCCATTATTGGTATTGTCGAGAGTTGAGACCCAACTCGGCCCTTCGGGCCCAATCGACACCCACCGCCGTCTGGTGTAATATTTAAGATATGACTCCAATAAGAACATGCAAATATATCCTTCTATATAGTATAGTATAGTATAGTACAGTACATAGAATAAATGTAGAAAGAATTCATCCATTGTCTCCATGTGAATTAGACGATTCGGTTGCACACCATCATTAGCGTGTTGATGAAGTAGTCATGCTGTCACCATCACATTACGTTCTCTGTGTGACCCATTGCGTGGGGAAGAATAGTTTAATGTACCTTAATAACACTAACTGTAGTACGTGGAGATCCAAATGCACGTAACGTGGGCGATCGGAAGGAAGTCGCCACCAAAACTAGTTTCGAGTCGAGTAATTCTTCGCTTTAAAGATAAGCTTACCAAATAATGACGTAAAAGGAAGAGGGATTAGAGGTGCAAGTAAAACGAAGAGGAGGGATTATGTTTCTTAATCCGTCCAAATTCATGTGCTCATACCATACATCTAATCACATCTCATTCAATTGTAGAACTTCACATTATTATTATCATTATACATAAACATATGGTGTTGATCAGCAGCAAATCATACACTCTTTTTATCACACAAATTTTTATCTTCTTTTGAGGAGAATATAGCAAAAAAGAAAGAAGTAGAAGCAGATTAATAAGAGATGGGTGGCTTCGGGGAGAGGACCCAGTGCTGACCATGGGGCCGGACCTGCACGCCCTTAACGCCGGCGAAAAGCGTGACGGCGCGGCGGACGCCGTGATCGTCGGCAGCCGTGTGGTAATCGTGGCCGAAGAGGACGCCGCCTGGTCGGAGAACCGCCCAGGCCATGTTGATGTCCGCCCAGGCTGAGTGGAAGTCGTGCCCCGCGTCCACCTCGATCAGGTCTCCGTACACCCCCCACTCGCACAGAGCCGCCAGTGCCGACGCGGTGGAGAACGGCACCGGTATCACTCGCCCCGCAGCCGCTGTGCCTGCCGCCGCCACTCCGGCCATGAACTGGTGGAGCAGCAGCGCATCGCCGTGGCGCGGACGTGGCAGGTCGCGAGGGAAGCGGGCCCGGGCGCCCGGCCACCCCCGGAAGTCGTCCACGCAGAGGATGACGGCAGGGAGCGACAGATTGGCGGCCACGGTCGCCATATGGAGCGCCGACGCCCCGAGGAAGGTGCCGAGCTCGATGATGGTGAGGGGTCGGATGGACTCGATCAAGTCGCGGAACACCGGCATGGTGGAGCCCCACCCTCGGGGCCGCGCCGCCGCGGGTAGGAGGTGCTCCGACGTTTCCGGCGACGGGAAGCCGTCGAAGGGCGACTTCCCGTCGTGTACCCTCTCCAGAATCGTCTTAAGCACCTCGGACTGGGGAATGGGGTCCGCACACTGGGTTCGGAATCTTAGGAGATCATGCGGCGGAGGAGGAGGAGGCGGCGCTTTCACTATCCGCTTCGCCGTCTTCGTCGGCGCCGTGGGCGAGAGCGGGGCGAGCGGAGAGGAGTTGGAGGGGGCAGAGAGGAAGCCGAGGATGTAGCCAAGGGAGAAGACGAGGAGGAAAGAGATGGCACCGGAAAGGTGGCCCCGGAGCTTGTGCGGCAGGGCGGCGGCTGATGGAGGAGGGGGTTTCATTGTTTTTTGGTACGGTGTTAAGCGATAGATCAAAGTAGAAGAAGGGAAATTTGGGCGACTTGTTGTAGGCGTGGACTACAATCGACATGTTTTAAGGATCATATATGTGTGTATATTATTATGTTTTTACTCGTTGGATGGCGACTTTTGAGGTTATTATTATGCTTGGAAATCTGATCCCGATAGGAAATGTTTCCCATGTTTCCGATAACAAGCAGAATTATGCTGAACCTATAAAATATGAACGAAAACCGACGCCTAACAGTCCGCCGCAACCTAATAAGGGGGATGAAGAAAGATCGCGGGTCCTCGTAATCCGATTTTTGCGTAGCGTCCATCATGATCATGGTCATGTTAAAATTGATCGGGAGCTGTTCCCATGGCTTCAGGTAGACTACTGCTATACGGGGCAAAAAAACAAAACAGTGATGCTAAAAACGAAGACCAAGAGTTTTTTCTTTTTCTTTTCTCCAGGAATTCATCTTATATATTTTATCATTAATTCTCTTGATTATTATTTTTAAATCAAAATCTAGATATAAGAAAAGGGTCGTGTCGTGCTATTCTCATCGCCTATCTCTTTAGGTATAAAATCTCGGACATGTTTTGCGTGGAGTATTTTTTGTTAAGATGACCACAAGTAGTAGTTGGTCTCTCTGCTCATGTGTTTTTTGTAACATCTGTAGCTCGTTCAAGTGCAGTGGTAACGATTGCTCATCCGACCGGTAGCTCAAAAGTTCCGTTAGTTCGCTTGACACCTATTTTATTAAGTATCTCTTCGTTACTAATTTATTGTTTTTTAAAACGCCAGAGGAGTAGTAATAGCCACCTTGTTTTTAGAACATGAGGTTCAATCTGAAAGTGAATCAATCAATGAAAACAAACATATTCAAAAAATATTCGAGAGTGACAATTTCTTAATTGAATAGATAAAACAAACATAACTTTGCTTAGAACATGAGGAATTCAAGTTTCAAAACATCACAAAAGTTGCTCTTTAAAATTCTGTTATGCACCTTTGTGTCGTGGCCTAGGATCGACATGGCTTAGTCCCGTCCCGAAGGTGTAAGGTCATGCGAATGTGTGATATAGTGAGGTCAGGTCGGGGGATTTACTACGAGATGAGATCGAGTCATGCTCGATTTATGTATCGTACAATGTCATGTTAGGAATGCTAGACACATTAGGGCATTAGACGTACCGTACAACGCCATCTAGGCCTCAAAAGCCATGATGTCTTCTCTCAGGTCCAAGCTACTATCAAAAGCTTCTAACGTCAATAGACGGAAGCTGGTTGGGATGGGCTCCTCCTCGATATCTTAGACGAAGGGGGAGCTACCCGAGGTAGATCACTAGCCTTTCCCTTGGTTTGTTGGAATTCCCTTTGCACTATAGTGCCAATTTACTAGCTATAGTTGGGCCTTGAGCGAGTCATCAATTGAATTTGCCAACTGTGTGTTTGTCTCGGGAAGGGTTGAGATAGCACAGCGATGTGGGGGAGCACTATATTCCACCATCGGAGATCACATATCCTCGGGTTGCCCCCGGCTGATTGGGGGCAATCTTGGGGTGTTAGGCGCTGATCCGTCGAGGTGGCCCTAGGGGCATGGTGATGAGCAGAGGTTGGACCACTAGTTGTAATTGCGGAGGGGGTGCAGCCTGCTAGGCCAACTGAGATAAAAGGAGAGCGATAGTTTGCATCATCCCAGCCAAGTTATGCAGCTGGTGGGTGAGACTCAGAAAGGTCTCGATGAGGATGACCAATGAGGACGACCAATTGCCCTTCATTGGCTCTTGGATGGGAGAGCCCGAGGTCTGGGTTGAGGTGGTCCCATCTACTTGCATGAGGATAGGTAGTTGCCCCCCTTAGCCAAAGGCATGGTGTGGGGGTGGAGCCTCCTCGTTGAAGTGCTCATTGAGAGGATTCATCAGTAGACGCTCTTACGATGTTCGACCCTTTTTCTAACCCCAAAAATATTATATACCTTTATGCCAAGGCCTGAGGATCGATATGACTTGGTCTCATCCTAAAAGTGCAAAGTTGTTCGAATATGTGGGAGAGTGAGGTCAAGATTTATGTCAAGATTTTGCACAACATGTTGATGTCCGGGGGGGGATTCCTGACTTGACCCATTCGATGCTTAAGTTAGTAATTAAAAATGTGTGAAAAGTTCATCCCTCGTCCCAAAATGAGGGACCAATATTTATACCTATGGAAATGGCCCAAGGATACGATGGTTAATAATGACTGTCAATACCTCCCATGGCGTAGTCATGGAGGCGATTGACTCGTATGTCCCCTGTGATGCGGGTCGGCCTGTTCGGGTTCCTGTGGCAGGGTACCGACTCATATAGTCTCATACAACACAGAGCCGGTAGGCTGGGCACCGTTTGCCATGTCAAATTTCTTTTGTGTCAAACAGATGTTGGGTTGTATTCAACGTCGACTGTCCACTGACGACTCGGGTTGATGTTGGAATATTCACAATCACTATATATAATAATACCTTTGTCTATGTTGTGTAAGAGAAATAATGTATGTGTGAGATGTAGATTAGCTCGAAAGAGAATTTTCTTCCTTCTATTTACTATTATTATAGTTATTCTTCATGGAAATAAACAAGCTTTTGAACATAAGGCTTACTATTATTATAGTTATTCTTCATGGATATTACTATTATTATTGTTATAGTTATTCTTCATGGATATATTTACTATTATTATAGTTATTCTTCATGGTTCCTCTTCTGTGAACCATGATAAGCGATGAACCTGGAAGCATAACTGGTCCCTCCCCTCACAAAAAAACCCCACCCACCCCGCCCCCCCCTTCACTGGTCTCAGACTCTCATTGCAACCTTTTTGTTGGATTGAATATGAAAGCAGAGCTGGTCCCTCAGGTTCGTTGGATGGTGTATTAAATTGACCGGTGGGAAAAGTCCACACGGTGCAAAACGTTTCGAATCTCAAAGCAACAATTTACACAGATGTTGACCGTAAGTTGTGATCCAAATCGGAATAACAAGCAACTCCTCGCTCGGCGTTACCCGTTCGGTGTTGCATTAGCTTATGCAAACTTTGTCATTTCTAATGGTTGCAATCCCCTCTTAGTTGAGCTTCAGCAGCAGAGTGGTTGGGGAGAGACTCTTTTGCTGTCGATGAGAAAGAGACAATGTCTTGGCTTGTTTAAATGAAGCCACTCTTTTCCCACACTGACTTTATAGATGAAGGTCTTCCTGTCGGTCATATTAAGTTTCATGATAGAGGAGTCAGCCCGTCCACATCAACGGTGACATCGTATAGCAGATTTTTACTCGAAAGGGTACCCAAAAACAAGAGATGCATTAATATCTGAGTTCATAATGAGAATTAGATATATAACTTAATCTGAAGGCAAACGAGGACTACTATTTATATAAAGTTAGGTGTAATGTCTTACTTCACAAACAAGACAAAGGTTGCCTCTGGTGAGGGACTATATAATATATATATATATATATATAGGACATAAGAACATTAGATTAAAAAAAATCAATCTTGCAAACAAAACTCAGCCTCCTGGCATCATCATTTAGAATGAAAACAAGCATAACAATTCGAGCAGAAAGATCTATCAACTTAGCTAAGCAGAAAAAAGATAATACTTCTTCTTTTTGTTTCACTTTATTCATCGATGACATCCATTTTTTTTCCATCTTATTTCTTTTGATCATTCATTTTATTCTTTCAAAACTTACAATAGAACCATTTGGGATCTTTGGTCAACCAGTATTTGTAGTGAAAAGAGTGTGAATGAAATAAGATTTCAAACAAAACAAGAAAATGCAGTACTACCAACACATGCCATACGTTTCAGATAAGTAAAAATATAAATGTTCTTTTATGCCTTCTTCCAGTCGATTAAAATTAATCCATTCCTTTAGGCCTTTAATTATTTTATTGGCATTCAAGTCGTCCTGTCACATTTGCTTCAATTATTTATTGGCAACACTATACAAGGATGCCATTGCATGCATCATTTTCGGAATCACGGGCCCTAATATCAGTCGTGATGATTTGAGTACCACTGGTTGTGACAGTATAACCAGTGAGAGTTGTTAGCCAAGCTTTCATCGAATGGAATTAGGAAAAGATTTGTGATGATTTGAGTACCACTGGTTGTGACAGTATAACCAGTGAGAGTTGTTAGCCAAGCTTTCATCGAATGGAATTAGGAAAAGATTTGAGGCCATGGAGATCACCAGCGCATCCTTTCTGGTGCCATTAGCTGCGAGTGTTTGGTGTCCATTACGTTGGAACATTTCTGGGGAATTGGTGATGGGCCTTAACATATCATATAATAGAGTAAAGAGATAGCATTCGAAGTGTTATATTAGCCTTTTCAAGCAGTGGAACCGTTTTTGTGTATATCAGTTCAAGCTTGCAAAAATATAGTCTTGTAATAAGATTTTAAATTGCCCGATTGCTTCTTCTGCATGTTTATTTACCAGTGATCTTATAGCCCACTCTATCAGTTGCAGACAAGAACTGCATGTGTTTCCATCAAATGAGAGAGAGAGAGAGAGAGAGAGAGAGAGAAAAGTAAGAACTGCATGCTTAAGTTACCGTGGTCATTAAAAGAAATCCCACAAGAAAGTATCGGAAAGGTGATGAAGCAGGATCCTTAACTGCATTGAGGGATAAGCGCAAAATTAAAAAGCAGCATAGAGAACGCTCTAGAAGAATCATGTTTCTTGTGTAAAATGTAATCATCTAGACATTTTTTTATGGAACAATAAAAATAAAAATTGATTCAAATAACTTGAATTCATTATAAGCATTTAAAATAATATATGATTATTTAAATTCAAGTTTAGCGTAATCTTTCAAAATGATATATATAGGGGAGCCTGAATAAAGCAAAGGGTGGGATCTTCCTTATTATCCGAGAGCCCTATCCAACCCTATGTCATGCGGGGGGTTCTAGAGTATTGAGATAGCTAACATTTCATGCCATCACCATCGTTACCACAGCAAATGAAAATGACCCAAAAATAAACCAAAACTAGTCATTTTTGGCCATGCAAGCAAAGTAAGGGGCAGCACCTTCCTTGTTATCCGAGAGCCCCATCCAGCCTTGTGCCACCCGGGGGGTTCCAAGGCATTGAGATAATTGACATTTCATGTCGCTCCCTAAGGTCATTGCAACATGCAAAAATAGCCCAAAAATAAACCTAAATAGGTCATTTTTGGTCGTATGAGCGAGCGACGAGCAACGGATAGTCAGCGAAGCAAGGGGCAGCACCTTCCCTATTATTTGAGAGCCCTATCCTGCCTTGTGCCTTGGGAGGGATTCTAAGGTGCTGAGATGGTTGACATTTTGCACTATTCATTATGGTTGCTGTAGCACACAAAAATAGGCCAAAACTAGCCATTTTTGGCTTTGTGAGCAAGCAATGAGCAGTAGATAGTGAGTGAAGCAAGGGATGGCACCTTCCCTATTATTTGAGAGCCCCATCCAGCCTTGTGCCACCTAGTGGGTTCTAGGGTGCTGAGATGTCTAACGTTTTGCGCTACTCACCGCGATCACCACGATAAGCAAAAAACAGTCCAAAAATAGGTCAAAACTGGCCATTTTTTGCCGTGCAAGCGATCGACGAGCGGTGGATTGTGAACGAATCAAGGGGCAGAACCTTCTCTATTATCCCAGAGCCCCATCTAACCTTGTGCCAACATAGGGGTTCTAGGGTGTTGAGATTGCTAATGTTTCATATCGTTCACCACGATCATCACAACATGTGAAAACGGCCTAAAAATAGGTCAAAACTAGCCATTTTTTAATCGCTTAACAAGTGATGAGTGACAAACAACGAGCGAAACATGGGGCCGCACCTTGTTATCTGAGAACCCCATATAGCCTTATGATATTTGAGGGGTTTTAGGGTGCGGAGATGGTTGATATTTTGTGTCGCTCACAATAGTCATCGCAGCACACAAAAAAGGCCCCAAAAGGCTAAAACTTATATTTTTGGCCACATGAGTGAGCATCGAACAACAAACGAAGTAAGGGGTAGCACCTTCCCAGTTATCCGAGTGCCCCAACCATCCCTATGCCACCTAAGGGGTTCTAGGGTGCTGATATAGTTGATGTTTCGTGTCACTCACTATAGTAATCGCAACACACGAAAACGACATAAAAATAAGCCATTTTTGGTCGCGCGAGCAAGCGAAGGGGCAGCACCTTCCCTATTATCCAAAATCTTCATCCAGCCCTATGTCATCCAGGGGCTTCTAGGGTGCTAAGATGGCTAACATTTTGTGTCACTCATCATAATTAACGTAGCACTTAAAAACAACCCAAAAATAAGCCAAAACTGGCCATTTTTGGTCGCATAAGTGAGCATCAAACAACGGAGAATGAGCAAAGCAAGGGGCAGCACCTTCTCAGTTATTCAAGAGCCCTATCCAACCCTATGCCACCTGGGGGGTTCTAGGGTGCTAAGATGGATGACGTGTCAATCACCACAATCATCGTAGCAAGCGAAAATGACCCAAAAAATGACCATTTTTGGTCACATGAGCTAGCATCGAGCAGCAAATAGCAAGCAAAGCAAGGAGTAGAACCATCCCTGTCATCTGAGAGCCCCATCTAGCTCTATGTCACCTGGGGGTTACATGGTGCTGAGATGGTTAATGTTTCACGACGCTCATTGTGGCTATTGTATCATGCGAAAAATAACCCAAAATAGGCCAAAATTGGCCATTTTTGGTCATGAGAGTGAGCGGTGAATGATGGACAGCGAGTGTAGTAAGGGGCAGCTTCCCTATTATCCGAGAGCTCCATCTAGCCCTATGCCACCCGAGGGGTTCTAGGGTGCTGATGTCACACCCCCCCCAAATGAACACATTCAAGAGGCGTGAACTTATCTTAAATTAAGAATATTATAATTCATCTATAATCTAAATCCAAGATCTAAACTAACATTTAAGGTTATTAAAAAAGTATCCGAACATCAATCACATTTATAAAACCTTTGCATTTTATAATCATACACCACATCACTCGTTAATTCATGAAAACTCAAGTCCAACTCAAAAAATATCATCAACCACTGTTTATAAATCTATTAGTGGGAGAATTTATACAATTTCAAAATAACCATTTTCCATAAGTTTTTATCATCGTAAAATTAAACTTACCATTTGCCAATAGATCCGCCGTAGTGATCGTATACAACGAGGTTGCTACGTAATCTAACAAGAAGAGGAGATAGTTGAGTGGGAGGAGAAGAGATGGTGCAGGAGGAAAATAAAAATGAGAAGAGAATGCAAAGGAAAAGAGAGAGAGAGGAGGAAGCCAATGAAGAGGGGGAGGAGGCAACGATGTGGAAGGAGGAGGATGAAGCCACGGGAGAGGGAGCAAAGGAGAGGAGGCGGCGATGATAAAATGAGAGGAGATAAAAGGTAAAATGAGAAGAGTTGACCAAATTCTGTTTGTTAGTTTAAATCAATTTATTAGTCTAAATCGATATTTTAATTTAAATCGAATAAAAAAATAAAAATAAAATAAAATTAGCATAAATAAAAAAAAAAGTCATTTGATTAAAAATGAATAGTATGATGTCATCCGACGAGTGAGCGTCACTTCCCTCAGTGCCGTGCGGCACCACGTCCGGTTACGCGAATGGATATGTGACGTAGTACACGAATCTCAGGGATATTTTTTTTGACGCTCACTGCGGCATTGCTGCGGTTATCACATGCCTAATTTATCGCGTCCAGAGAGCTAGCGGAAGTGGTGGCGTGCAAGCGTGGTATGGGCGAGGAAGGGAGGAGAGATTAAAGCGAGCAAGGGAAGGGATGCGATGGGCAACACAGATCCACTCCTTGCCCTGCGTCACCGCCCGCAGATCTCATGGTGGACATCGTCGACTACCGCGGCCGCCCCGCTAACAGATCCACCTCCGGCGGCTGGACCTCCGCTCTCTTCATCATAGGTATTAATTCCCCTCTTCCCCTTCCTCCTCCTCGATCTCTGTCGTCCGTTTGATCTGGATCGGAGGTATGCAGGGGTGGAGATAGCTGAGAGATTCGCATTCTACGGGATATCATCCAACCTGATATCCTACCTCACCGGCCCGCTCGGAGAGTCGATGGCGATGGCGGCGGCGGCGCTCAACGCGTGGAACGGCGTGGCGTCGATGCTGCCACTCTTGGGGGCCTTCGTCGCCGATTCCTACCTGGGGCGCTACCGAACCATCGTCATCGCCTCTCTCCTCTACATCCTGGTGCGTGCGTGCGTCTACCCCTCTTCTTCTTCTTGCCCTCGCTGTGCCTTTTTCGAGGTGCGAATCGTAGGAATCCTTCTCCTTCTTCTTACGCCTAAATTCGAAATCCTTCTTTCCGTCGTGCGAGTCCTCGACCATGGTGAAAAGGAGTACACGTATCCGTCGGTTCTCCTAAGTGGCAATGCCTGGACGCATGCGCTCCTTGTGAGAGTAGTACAAAAATAGAAACGGTAACAGTCAGGACGTTTCAAAATTCACCCTATCGGATTGGAAATTAATTAACTACTCCGTGCTTCCGCCTATTTCAAAATAGATAGATTTAAAATTTTAGGGCAATTTAAATTGATCAGATGGATGTGTATGTCCTACAAAACCTTTGATTTATTACCGTGTACAGTAAGAATAATTGAGACAACCTCATGAATTCCATCCATCTTACATAATTCACTTGATAGACGCCTGAATTGTTTCAAAAATTTTCATTGATATACGACTTATTCTTCTTTCATGCATGTACTAAGTTAGATGAGTATATATTTAATTCAAAATAAAATAAGATTAATAAATATAATTTATTACCATTCGAAGCCTCTGTTTAGTATAATAATATCTGCTCCAGCAGCAACCGTCGATTTCATATTGACTGATATGTGATGGGATGACGGAGCTCACTTGAGATGACGGATGGCATATAAAACAAATAAGTCATTACAGGTCCATCCACTACTCTTCAATTTGATGAGAGTTCAAACGCTTGCTTGATTGTAAAAAAGTGAAAGAAATACAAGCATCTGATCACATTGTCGAACAAAAGGACTTCGTGTACGACAACTCACGTTGTTGTCTGATTTGAGACACAGCACCCGTTTTCGAATGGATCTACGCCAAAGCAGCCCAGGGCCCACCTCTTCAATAGATGACTCAAGTTTAATAAAATGCTATTCAACTGGGTCATCATATCGAACATCAAATATCATATCAGTGGGTTATTGGTTAAATTAATTAATTGAATTTTTAATATATATATATATATATATATTCATAGAATATATAAAAATTATACAACATATTATATAAAATTATTTAAAAAATATTTTGATAATATAACGAAAGATCTTTGTAATATAAAAGACAATGCAGATTGATTGGACGCAGACCGCACTTCTCATGATTTCTTGGCCTTTCTATCGCTTGTAAGTGTAACTATTTTCTTGGTTCTTTAACAGGGTCTAGGCACGCTGACACTGTCATCTATGCTACCTATCTTCCATCCGGCGAAATGTGGAACGGCTTGCCCACCTCCTCGGCTCCAAGTGGCCTTGTTCTACGTCTCCCTCTACCTGGTGGCAATCGCCCAAGGAGGCCACAAGCCCTGCGTCCAAGCCTTCGGCGCGGACCAGTTCGACCAGAACGACCCCCAGGAACGCGTCGCCAGGAGCTCCTTCTTCAACTGGTGGTACTTCGGAATTTGCTGCGGCGTCGTGGTCACCCTCGTCATCCTCAGCTACGTCCAGGACAACATCGGCTGGGGCCTTGGGTTCGGAATCCCCTGCATCGTTATGCTGTTTGCCCTCGTGTTGTTCGTGCTCGGAACCAGGACTTACCGCTTCTGCCTCTTGCAAGAGGAGAGCCCCTTCGCTCGGATCGGCAGAACGCTCGTCGCATTGGCAAGAAAGAGGCTGGGAAAACTTCCCATTACCGAACTGCAATCCGAGTAAGAGTATTATTCTGAAACCTGTTGATACTAGTATCCTCTGGTGGTAGATTAGCGAAGACTAATGATTTCTGGGCAGCGTCGAACGTGTGGAGGAGACGAAGGGGCTGTTTCGACTGTTCCCCATATGGACGACGTGTTTGATCTACGCCGTTGTGTTCGCGCAGTCCTCAACTCTGTTCACCAAGCAAGGCGGTACATTGGACAGGAGGATCAGCTCCAAGCTTCAGGTGCCGCCGGCGGCGCTGCAGAGTTTTATCAGCGCCTCCATCATCGTCTCCATCCCCATCTACGATCGTATCCTCGTCCCTGTGGCTCGGAAGTTCTCCGGGCTTCCTTCCGGCATCACCATGCTGCAGAGGATTGGCACCGGGATGGCTCTGTCTCTCATCTCCATGGTGATAGCGGCTCTGGTGGAGATGAAGCGGCTCAAAACTGCTCGAGAGTTCGGTCTGGTGGATCAGCCCAACGCTAGGATTCCGATGAGCTTGTGGTGGCTGGTGCCTCAGTATGTTCTTTTCGGGGTTGCAGATGTCTTCACCATGGTTGGCCTGCAGGAGTTCTTCTACGACCAAGTCCCTGACGCATTGAGGACCCTGGGGCTGGCTCTCTATATTAGCATCTTCGGCATCGGCAGCTTCATCAGTGGATTCCTGATCTCTGTGATCAACAAAACGACGAGCAGAGGTGGAGAGAGCTGGTTTTCCAACAATCTGAACCGTGCTCATCTCGATTACTTCTATTGGCTTCTTGCGGGGCTCAGCATGATCGAGCTAGTTCTCTACGTGTACTTTACGCAAGCTTACGTGTATAAGAAAAAGCAGGATACTGCAGTCATGTAGTTTATTTTCCAGGTCGATTATATAAGGTAAGAATGATGCTGCCGGCATGTAATATAGTTTCCGGGGCTTCAATAAATTGGACGCATTGTTACAGTTCTTTGGATTTTTCTTGTCCATTCTGTAATTAATTATTTAGGTGGAAAAATTCAAGCCAAATGACAAACTCTTAATGCTAGGAAGGGAAAGAAAAAGAAAAAACTCATTCTATTCATAGTAGATTTTAAATATTTCTTGATCTTACTGTAGCACTATAATACTACTACAGTATAACATTGTAGTACTATAACACGGTCCGCCCGGTAATATACGGTCCGCGTATCGATTTATCATCGGATCGGTACGTATCGATCATACAAAATCATCTGAAAAATTAGATCCCCAAGACTTGATTGAGCCAAGTGAATCAAGAAAAATTTGCTATATAATCAAGCCTCCGAGGCATATAGTATCTTTGAAGTGCAAGAGAGTCGACGAGATCAATAGAATCTCCTTCGGTTCGTGGAGAAGAGGAATCAAAATAGGGAGTTTCATATAGATATTGGTAATAAGAGGTGAGAGAAAAGATTAAATTCCAGTAAAGTTTTACTGTGACATTCCTATCCTCTGGAACATGCGCATTAAGTTCAATTGTTCAATGATTTGTTGCACTAGGGGAGTTACTATGTGAATTCTGGAGTCTGAATTAATCTTTAAAAGGAGTACGAACGAGTTTAATCATTTCAAAGAATCAGAATAAAATACTAGCATCGAAGCGATGATTGTAGTTTGAGAGTCAACAGGATCAAGATAATCTTCAGTAGTAGGATAGGATCTAAAGCTACAATTGGGTCTGTCTGAAAGGGAAGTTTGGGCAAAAGAATAAGCTGTCTATTGGTGCATTGAACAGAAAGGGTAATTATTATAGGTGATTGGTTTTCTGTCGGTCGTGGAGAGAAGTTATTGTCTGGCTTGCGCGCACAACCTTTGATGCGAGGTGTAGTCCAAAGAATGGAGTTGAGCTCAAAAGATTAAACTGTTTCTGAGGTTTGATAGGTAGGTAATTTGCCATTAGCAGAGTCACAGAGAGAAAGGTAAGATTGAGAATGTACTTCCTCAATGCTAAGGCCTAAAACAGAATCATTTGCTATGTGTTATAGAAGAATGGAGGCTAAAGCAGAAGCGGGAAAGTCTACATCGACAACACAAGTTGCTACAAGATATTGTGTTGGCAACTCAAGAGGTGTTTCTTCAGTGCTAACATCTTTTTCTATTTCTGTTTGACCTATATTTGTTTGCTATTTCTGTTTGATTTGAATATTGTTTTTGTTGGCGAAAAAGGTTCTTTGTTCGTACTAGATCTTGCTTTAAAAACTTATTAGATATTTTCGTATTTCTATTTGACCTTTGCGATGAGCCTATTCTTGTTGGATTTGAATATGTTTTTATTGGCGATGAAAAAGATTCTTTGTTTGCACTAGAGCTTACTTTAAGAACTTATTTTCCTTTTTTAAGTTCAAGATAGGAGGATTTTGAGTTTTCACATGTAGTGCAAGGAATAAAAGATTTTAAGTTACATTTGTCATGATCATTTTTTAGTATATCAAACTCATTAATAAGTAAAACATGATCCTTTTTCAATAAATTATATTTTTATCAATCTTTTTAAATTCATTATATAAGTCATGAAATACTTTAGGCAATTCTTCGTACAATAAAGAAGTTTTCAAGGAATTAGTTACCTCATTGTCGAACACAGTAAGAGTATAATTTGTCATTTCTTCTTCAACAATTTGCTCTTCCAGCTCCAACCTATCAAGCTTTCTTCATTTGAACATTCCTTTATTGATAAGTTCTTTTATTTTTTTTCATATATCTTGCATATTATCTCATAGGTTATTAGTAACCTTTTGAGTTCTTCAAGCGAAAGATCGCTTAGGTCATTTATATCTCTTATCTTTGCATCTTAATTCCTTGAAAATGACTTAAAAATTGTCTTTAATATATTATCATTAAAAGAGGATATGCCAAGAGCTTTTAATCTACTGATAATATCTAAGAATTGAGAAAATATATATCAATGGATTCTTTTGGTATTATCATAAAATGCTAAAGTAAATTAATGCCTTTATTGGTAATTTTTGTCAAATATCAAAAATGATTTCATATATAGAAATTTAATTAAACTTATTTCAATCTAAAGCATAATATAAAATATTCATCGTTTTAGCTTTTAAGTAAAATAATTACCTTTTAGAATCCATCTATTCTTTAAAAGTTTTTGTCAATTTAGAACCATCAATTGTTAGGATCTTCATAGTTCTAAAAGGAGGAGTTGGGGGGTAAATTAGTAATATAATAAATTTTAATTGATGTTAAAATTTGATTAAAAATATATATTAGAAACATGATCAACCAAATATAAAGTGTGAGTAAAATTTACAAATAAAGTGAATGATCATAAGCAAAAATCAAAATCAAGAAAAATGATGTAAATCAATTTATAGTGATTCTATCTTTTGACTTGATTCATCTTCGACATCATTAGCTTTTACTAATAATCTTTCTAATGATTGAAGATTAATTATCATTGTTACAATTTTTAACTTTTCCAAATTTAAGAAAACACCTTCATACATACTCTTTTACAAGAGATATTTTACCTTATTTAATATCATAATTAAATTCAAGAGGAAAGAAGATACTCAATATATAATTAAAGAGAGCAACAAAACTATATAAACTTAAGATTAGATAGTCCATCTGCTAAGTTGGGTGAGGTATTTATAGGCTCCAAAAAATTTTAAAAATAAAGCTAAAATTGATTGAATATCACATCGAAAGGCTAGACTAAATTAACAAGGAGTCAATGTATCTTTTTGTTGACTATTGAAGATGACATATGACACATGATCAAATAATTTGATCCCTACATAATTTTAATTTGACGATCACATTGACATAAAAATAAAAAAAAAAATCGAACTTAAATATTGTACCCGAAGGCTTCTATTTGTGTTTGCTACTTCAGCTTTTAATGGGTCGATTTGCTTGGCAAGGTGCACAGTTTGATGTTTTAGAATTATTAATTTTCTTCTAATAGTTCTGATAAAATAAATAAATTTAAAATTGAGTGAGAAACTTTTTTATTTTTTATCAAAAGATAAATGGTAAAAATCAGATTCAATCATATTACTATTCTATCTACAGTAAATAACTAAGCAAGCTGACACTAAGAAAAATGATTCTTCATCCGATAAAATTTTGTTATCAACTAGTGGAAACTTAGTCTTGTACGGTGGCTTTAACGAAGTCAGGCTGATGGATGGTTGCCGGAGAGGCCGGGTGAGAACGTGGTGCACGAATCTCAGAGCAAGGGATATTTTTCTGACACTCACTATTCATTGACATCGCTGCGTTTATCACATCATTACATACTTCGGCCTACTTGATCGCCTCTCGTAGAGAGAGCTAACGGAAGCGGTGGCGTGCCCGAGGAAGGGAGATTAAAGCGATCAAGCGAAGGGGTGCGATGGGCAACACGGATCCTCTCCTTACCCTGCGTCACCGCCCCTCAGATCTCATGGTGGACATCGTCGACTACCGCGGCCGCCCCGCTAACAGATCCACCTCCGGCGGCTGGACCTCCGCTCTCTTCATCATAGGTATTAATTCCCCTCTTCCCCTTCCTCTTCCTCGATCTATGTCCTCCGTTTGATCTGGATCGGAGGTATGCAGTGGTGGAGATAGCCGAGAGATTCGCCTTCTACGGGATATCATCTAACCTGATATCCTACCTCACCGGCCCGCTCGGAGAGTCGACGGCGATGGCGGCGGCGGCGCTCAACGCGTGGAACGGCGTGGCGTCGATGCTGCCGCTCTTGGGGGCCTTCGTCGCCGATTCCTACCTGGGGCGCTACCGAACCATCGTCATCGCCACTCTACTCTACATCCTGGTACGTGCGTGCTTCTACCCCTCTTCTTCTTCTTGCCCTCGCTGTGCCTTTTTCGAGGTGCGAATCGTAGGAATCCTTCTCCTTCTTCTTACCCCTAAATTCGAAATCCTTCTTTCCGTCGTGCGAGTCCTCGACCATGGTGAAAAGTAGTCAAGCATCCGTCGGTTCTCCTAAGTGGCAATGCCTGGACGCATGCGCTCCTTGTGAGAGTAGTGCAAAAATAGAAACGGTAACAGTTAGGACGTTTCAAAATTCACCCTATCGGATTGGAAATTAATTGACTACTCCGTGCTTCCGCCTATTTCAAAATAGATAGATTTAAAATTTTAGGCCAATTTAAATTTATCAGATGGAAGTGTATGTCCGACAAAACCTTTGATTTATTACCATACAGTAAGAATAATTGATACAACCTCATGAATTCCGTCCATCTTACATAATTCACTTGATAGACGCCTGAATTGTTTCGAAATTTTTCATTGATATACCACTTATTCTTCTTTCATGCATGTACTAAGTTAGATGAGTATATATTTAATTCAAAATAAAATAATATTAATAAATATAATTTATTACCATTCGAAGCCTCTGTTTAGTAAAACAATATCTGCTCGAGCAGCATCCGTCGATTTCATATTGACTGATATGTGATGGGATGACGGAGCTCACTTGAGATGACGGATGGCATATAAAACAAATAAGTCATTACAGTTCCATCCACTACTCTTCAATTTGATGAGAGTTAAAACGGTTGCTTGATTGTAAAAAAGTGAAAGAAATACAAGCATCGGATCACATTGTCGAACCATAGGTGTACGACAACTCGCGTCGTTGTCTGATTTGAGACACAGCACGTGTTTTCGTATGGATGTACGCCAAAGCAGCCCACGGCCCACCTCTTCAATAGATGACCCAAGTTAATAAAAAGCTATTCAACTGGGTCATCATATCGAACATAAAATCTATCAGTGGGTTATTGGTTAAATCGATGAATTGAATTATATATATGTAGAATATATAATAATTATACAACGTATTATATAAAATTATTAAAAAAATATTTTGATAATATAACGAAAGATCTTTGTAATATAAAAGACATGCGGATTGATTGCCTTGCTTGTCTTCATTTGGACGCAGACGCACTTCTCATGATTTCTTGGCCTTTCTTTCGCTTGTAAGCGTAACTATTTTCTTGGTTCTTTAACAGGGTCTAGGCACGCTGACGCTGTCATCTATGCTACGTATCGTCCATCCGGCGAAATGTGGAACGGCTTGCCCACCTCCTCCGCTCCAAGTGGCCTTGTTCTACGTCTCCCTCTACCTGGTGGCAATCGCCCAAGGAGGCCACAAGCCCTGCGTCCAAGCCTTCGGCGCGGACCAGTTCGACCAGAACGACCCCCAGGAACGCGTCGCCAGGAGCTCCTTCTTCAACTGGTGGTACTTCGGAATTTGCTGCGGCGTCGTGGTCACCCTCGTCATCCTCAGCTACGTCCAGGACAACATCGGCTGGGGCCTTGGGTTCGGAATCCCCTGCATCGTTATGCTGTTTGCCCTCGTGTTGTTCGTGCTCGGAACCAGGACTTACCGCTTCTGCCTCTTGCAAGAGGAGAACCCCTTCGCTCGGATCGGCAAAACGCTCGTCGCATTGACAAGAAAGAGGCTGGGAAAACTTCCCATTACCGAACTGCAATCCGAGTAAGAGTATTATTCTGAAACCTGTTGATACTAGTATCCTCTGGTGGTAGATTAGCGAAGACTAATGATTTCTGGGCAGCATCGAACGTGTGGAGGAGACTAAGGGGCTGGTTCGACTGTTCCCTATATGGACGACGTGTTTGATCTACGCCGTTGTGTTCGCGCAGTCCTCAACTCTGTTCACCAAGCAAGGCGGTACATTGGACAGGAGGATCAGCTCCAAGCTTCAGGTGCCGCCGGCGGCGCTGCAGAGTTTTATCAGCACCTCCATCATCGTCTCCATCCCCATCTACGATCGCATCCTCGTCCCTGTGGCTCGGAAGTTCTCCGGGCTTCCTTCCGGCATCACCATGCTGCAGAGGATTGGCACCGGGATGGCTCTGTCTCTCATCTCCATGGTGATAGCGGCTCTGGTGGAGATGAAGCGGCTCAAAACTGCTCGAGAGTTCGGTCTGGTGGATCTGCCCAACGCTAGGATTCCGATGAGCTTGTGGTGGCTGGTGCCTCAGTATGTTCTTTTCGGGGTTGCAGATGTCTTCACCATGGTTGGCCTGCAGGAGTTCTTCTACGACCAAGTCCCTGATGCATTGAGGAGCCTGGGGCTGGCTCTCTACATGAGCATCTTCGGCATCGGCAGCTTCATCAGTGGATTCCTGATCTCTGTGATCAACAAAACGACGAGCAGAGGTGGAGAGAGCTGGTTTTCCAACAATCTGAACCGTGCTCATCTCGATTACTTCTATTGGCTTCTTGCGGGGCTAAGCATGATCGAGCTAGTTCTCTACGTTTACTTCACGCAAGCTTATGTGTATAAGAAAAAGCAGGATACTGCAGTCATGTAGTTTATTTTCCAGAACATGAACAGGTTTATTATATAAGGTTAGAATGATGCTGTCGTCATGTTATATAGTTTTCAGGCTTCAACAAATTGGACGTTTTGTTACACCTCTTTGGATTTTTTTTTTGTCCGCTTTGTAATTAATTTAATATTAGAGTGAACGATCTTTTATCAATACTTAATTATTCTCGTAAGATTGGTCCGATGATCGATTGTGTTAGATCTAAAACTTTTAAACTTATAAGTTTAGTATCAAGTATTCATATAGGACATAATTGATGTATGAAGTCTAAGAATCAAATAAATCATTAATCATTGGGATGATAGAATTATTGTCTAAAAATAAGATATCATTAATCATCCAATATTCGATCAGTGAACTTATTCTCTAATGAGTATATACATTGTATTCCTAGTGTTTCAACATGAGCAGTTATAAGACCAATCGTTTTTTTCATATGGACGGGTATACAGCACACTAATCTGTCCGATTATCTCGTTATCCCTGTCGAGTAATCTATGACTGAGATTATTTTTGGTCTTTGTTTAAAAACGACTTGGTCTTATTATCGCGATAACATCATGATGTGCTATAAGACCAATTGCTTTTATCATATGGATAGGTATACAACACACTAATTTATCCGATTATCTCAATGTCTCTCTCGAGTAATCTATGACTGAGATTATTTATGATCTTTATTTAAAGACAACTCGATCTCATTATCGTGATATTATCATGATCCGATTCTCATTGTACAGATTTATAGATATCACCCTTGAGTTTATTAGGATTTAGACATAATAAATAAATCTCAAATAAATCCCTATCCAACTCTTAATGAACTAGATAAATTTAATAAAATATTATTCAAAACTTAAAAAAAAAAAATAAAATAAATGATATAAAGGTATAAAAAAAGTACCAAATCTTTTAGCTGATTTGAAGCTGTAATCTAAATTAACAAAATTCTTAAGAAAAAGAAACTAAGATCTTTACACAGTTTATATTAGACTGTTACAAGTAACTCAAACTTAAAACGCCATTTACACCAAGAATCATGTGCGTCATCCATCCATCCAGATATGATATGATATGGTTTTAATCATGAAAATAGCAGCGTAAAACTGCTCACGTGATATAAAAGAATCATTTGGCCTGCATTTAAATCTATATCTGATGGAAAACTCGTCTTTAATCTAGCGATCAAAGAACACAAAAAAGGAGATCCGTTGAATTCTGACATCAGATGTGACTAAAGTTTTTGTTGATATATTTATAATTCAACCTCAAAGAGAATCTTCAACTGTGCCTACTTCGTTTGTGGACAATGATTTTGAATTGCCATAAAAATCTTCTACTTCTTAATCCACACACATAAAATAAAAAATCATTAAACATTTTCTTGACTATTCTCGTTTCGACCCAAATAAGAGGGTATGTAGAATCGGTGTTTTAGACCGAGTCCTCCTCGTTGACTTCTTATCGCGTTTCTCCGTTCCACGCTAAGTCTTCGAAGATGCCTTGAAGATGATGTGCGTTGGTGTTAATCACAGGTGGGCTTATGTAATTAGAATCACTGTTAGCATGTGATTTGGAAGGCGAATTAGTCCAGATCATGGATCATGAGAGAGAGAAATCGAGCACTATCACTATCTCATCATCTAAAATTACAGCTTTTGGTTTGTGCCGTGACTGTGTAGCCGCCCGTCAAAGACGCCTTTGAAGTCCATTCCACACAAAAGTCTTTGAGGACTTGGAAAAATGATGTGGTGGAAATGGTGCTTTGCCCGTTTCAACTTCAATTCCCAGATTAAGTTCATGGAGAGTTCCCCCATGAGTTGTAATGCTCTCTCCCTACCTCGTCTGTTACTTGAGTGTGTGATGCCCGTTAGCTTTGCAGCCATGGCTCTTTCGAGGTCTGCATGCGCCATCCCCCAGTATCTGTCTCTTCTCGTCATCTCCTTCTTAGCACTCCACCAAGCCTCTCCTTCCTACGCATCCGATACCATCTCCCCCAATCGCTCTCTCTCAGGACGCCAGAATCTTACCTCAGCAGGGGGCCAATTCGTGCTTGGCTTCTTCGCTCCAAGTGCCTCTTCCAAGAACTACTATGTAGGCATCTGGTACAACAAGATCTCCCTGCTCACTGCAGTATGGGTGGCCAACCGAGAGATCCCAGTCACAGACACAAGCACGTCAGAGCTCAAGATCTCCGATGATGGCAACCTGGTCCTCCTCGATCAGTCCAAAGGAATTATTTGGTCCACCGGTACCAGAATTCCCTCCAACTCCACGGTGGCTGTGATCCTTGATGATGGGAACCTTCAGCTGAGGGACGAGACCAACTCCTCCCAGGTCTTCTGGCAAAGCTTTGATCATCCCAGCGACACTTGGCTCCCCAGAGACAAGCTTGGGTTGAACAAGGCGACCAACCAGCTGCAGCATCTCACAGCCTGGAAGAACAAAGCTGATCCTGCTCCTGGGATCTTCTCCCTCGAGATCGACCCAAATGGAACCAGCCAATACTACATAATATGGAACATGTCTCAGATATACTGGACTAGTGGAGTCTGGAATGGCCATATTTTCAACTTAGTTCCTGAGATGACCAAAAATTACATTTATGACTTCCAATTTGTTAACAGTAGCACGGAGACCTATTTCAACTACACCGTTAAGAATGACAGCATCATCTCCAGGTTCGTATTAGATTATGCTACAGGTCAGATCCAACAGTTGACGTGGATGGAGAATCTGAAATCATGGATGCTCTTCTGGTCTCAGCCAAGACAGCAATGCTTAGTGTATGCTATTTGTGGGCCTTTCGGAAGCTGCAACGACATCAGCAAGCCATTTTGCAAGTGCATCGAAGGTTTCAGTGTGAAGAACCAAACCGAGTGGGATTTGGGTGATCAAAGCGGGGGGTGTGAGAGGAAAACTCAGCTGAATTGCGGTCGAGATAGCTCGGGCAATTCTGAGACAGATGATGTGTTCTTTCCGTTGTCGAATATAAAGCCACCCGACAACTCTCAGATTCTGGCCACGGTTGGGAGTGATGAAGATTGTGAATTGGCTTGCCTGAACAACTGTTCTTGTACTGCTTATTCCTACAATGCTACCGGGTGCTTTGTGTGGCATGGCGCCTTGCTTAATCTGCAAGATCAGTATGGATCAGATGGTAGCACCCTGTACCTTCGTCTGGCTGCCTCAGAGCTGCAGAGTTCCAGAAGCAAGAAGGGAGTCGTAACTTGGATCATCGTTGGAGTCGTGGTGGTCGTCGTCGCTTGTTTGGCTATCATACAGTGGAGGCGTCGAAGCAGGCGGATGATCCGTAAGTCAAAGGCTGTGGGAGGCACTATGGTGCCTTTCGATTACAGGGAGCTGCAGCGTGCCACAAACAACTTCTCGCACAAACTTGGGGGAGGAGGCTTCGGATCGGTCTTCAAAGGATCGTTGCCTGACTCCACTGTGATCGCTGTGAAGAAGCTAGAAGGCCTTCACCAAGGAGAGAAGCAATTCCGAACGGAGGTCAGCACGATCGGGACAATTCAGCATGTTAACCTCGTTCGCCTTCTCGGGTTTTGCTCTGAAGGATCCAGGAAGTTACTAGTCTACGAGTTCATGCCAAAAGGATCTCTCGACACTCAGCTCTTCCATAGCGATTCCACAGCTCTGGATTGGAAAACAAGATACCAAATCGCTGTGGGAACTGCGAGAGGATTAGCTTATCTCCATGAGCAATGCAGAGACTGCATCATACATTGTGACATCAAGCCAGAGAACATAGTGCTGGATGCATCCTTCGTCCCGAAAGTGGCGGATTTCGGTCTCGCGAAGCTTGTGGGACGGGACTTCAGCCGAGTTCTGACGACGATGAGAGGAACCAGAGGCTACCTTGCGCCGGAATGGATTACCGGCGTGGCCATCACCGCGAAAGCTGATGTATACAGCTACGGGATGATGCTGTTTGAGATTATATCAGGAAGGAGAAACTTAGAGCAAACAGAGGGCGGGATTGCTGGTTATTTCCCTAAACTGGTGGCTACCAGGCTCGTCGCGGACGGCGTCGAAAGCTTGTTGGATCCCAGGCTGGGAGGCGAAGCTAACTTGGAAGAGGTTGAAAGAGCGTGTAAGCTGGCTTGTTGGTGCATTCAGGATGGTGAGAGTTGCAGGCCTACAATGGGGCAGGTGGTTCAAGTTCTGGAGGGCTTTCTTGATGCTAGCATGCCTCCTATTCCAAGGTCGATATTACTTGCTGAAACCCCAGAGGACATTAGGTTCTTCTACGAGTTATCATCGAAACAGAGCTCCCAGAGCAGGAGTAATGCTTCGAGTAGCCCTCAGACCGACAGCACCAAATCAAACGGTTCTGGCGTCTAAGGAGCTTCGACACATCTCATGTTCCTGCATTCTATATAGTTCACATAACATGATTTGCAGGTGAGGATTGCATAGGATAAGTAATATGTATAGCAGTTCATATCCTTGTCGTAATAAATAAAATCATCCTCCTACTCGCACAATAAATTCTGGTTTCCATTGATATGGGTACAATTTGATTTTATCCTTCTGCGCAAATACATCCAATCATCATCATGAATAATAAAAGAACTAGGAGTATTTCTAATATGTAGTCATTTAGATTGATTCAAAAATATCTATTTATATTAATCAAAAGATAAAATATAAAATGTTAAAAATAAATAAAAAATCATCATATCCTAATAAATATTTTCACCCTCATCTATTTATTTTAATCCAATTTTAATCTTTTATTTAATCTAATCTTGATTATTTGAATTAATCTTATCACACCCCCTTAATTCAAAATATTTATAACTTGAAGTTAGTCTTCCAACAAAACAAAATTTTTCTTTCATCAAAACTTTTATAAAGATATAGGTAAGCTAATCTTTAGTACCGTAGTAGTCTATTTAAAATTTTCTTTTATTAACCCGTTCAGAGATGAAATGATATCGAACTTCTATATTATATCTATTGGGTAAATCGGATCAAAGGGTGCTGTGCGTATTTTCTTTGATAGAGGGGCATTCATTATATGATAACAACCAATTGGCAAGGATTTTTATAGGTAAATTGTTTTCTCATATGATTTTTTCTTATAAAATTAATCGGTCACTTTTTAAGGCAAAATAAATGTTATATTTGACCTGCTCAAGCCCTACGGACTCCTTTAGCCGCCGCCTCTGTCTCGACCCGCCCCGCGACGCACGCAATACCGGCTCAAGTCTTCTCCTTCGAAGTGCCCTTACGGGGAGCGAGATGTTGCGGCGGAACACGAGGCTGAGGAGAGAATATCTCTACCGCAAGAGCTTGGAGGGGAAGGAACGCGAGTACTACGAGAAGAAGCGGAAGATCCGAGAAGCCCTCGAAGGTTATTGTTCTTTCTCGTTCCCTGTCTTAGATATGTGAAGCCCTTCTTTCCTAATCCTAAAGCGCCGATTACATCGCAGAGGGGAAGCCCATCCCGACCGAGCTGAGGAACGAGGAGGCCGCTCTCCGCCAAGAGATCGACCTCGAAGATGAATACACCGCTGGTACTATGTTTTTCTTTTTATTATCTTTATTGGATTTTTTTTCATATTTTTTCGTCTATCACTTATCTATTTAGAATGCTTCTATAAGTGCGTGGTCGTTCAAAGCTCCTCGTTGTTTTGTCTCTGTCTTTGCCTAGTACCAAGAACGCACATCGACGATGAGTACGCCACAGCATCAGAAAAGGATCCAAGGATTTTGTTGACAACATCTCGTAATCCAAGCCAACCTCTTACTCAGTTTGTCAAAGTAAGTAGCTGCATATTTTTGTGGTTCTGTTGAAGTACTAATCATATATCTGCAAGTTTAACTTGGTATTGTTGTTCTTAAAGGAACTCAAAATTGTCTTTCCCAACTCGACAAGAATGAATCGTGGTGGTCAGGTGTGTTTTTTGTTCTTTTCTTAATACATTGTGGTACTATTACTTTATTAATGGCAAAGCTAATGATTTAGGTAATTCATGCCTAATTTTGCAGGCTTGAATTTCTAGAGTCTTTACCTTATAGGCAAACTTACCCAAGCTTAATTAAACCCTATTACCCCTCAGCAAGTTGAGCCTGTATAGGTGAAGGTTGTCATGGATCAGCACTTTTACTTTTGTAGTGCTGGGGTTGTTGTTTGGATGGATTACAGTAATGCTAAAATCTTATAAATCCTTTGACCTAGACATCTTTATATTAATATTTTAATTTCATTAAAGAATGTCCACTTTATGGTTGCACAGATTTATTTGTGTGTCTATTCATGCATGTACTAATTCTTATGTTCCTTCTCTTCCACACTGCTTATGTAATATGTTAGTTGCTGATATCTTGATGGGTTGCACCCGCTAGTGATATCTTTGGCATAGCTGTTTTCTTTTATGTCAACTTATAAAGATAACATATTCTGTCATAGGTGATCTCGGAAATTATTGAATCTTGTCGTGCACACGAATTCACGGATGTTGTTTTGGTGCATGAACATCGGGGTCAACCAGATGGTTTGATTGTTTGCCATTTGCCATTTGGTCCTACTGCATACTTTGGCTTGCTCAATGTGGTATGTAGAAGTAATTTTCTTTTCTAGTTATTTGAAGATTGTTGGTACACCCATATATTTTCTTATTATCTTCAGGTGACGAGGCATGATATTAAAGATAAAAAGGCAGTGGGAACAATGTCTGAGGCTTATCCGCACCTAATTCTTGACAATTTTATGAGTAAGGTATGCCTTTTTATTGTGTAGCTAAATTTATTTGCTAGAAGAGTTTTTTGCTTGGTTGGTGGTACATTCATGTCCTATCTTTTGTTCTTTATTATAAAGCTGGGAACTATGTGTGGAAATGGAAGGACCTCAGAACCTGTGACCCTGGATAAGTTAATGTCTTTGACTCTAGTGGTCAACTAGTTCTAAGGTTTTAGGCATAGTTTGTGGCATTGGTTGATTTTATTATCATATACTTGGATATTGATATCACAGGCAAGATTGATCCAATTTGGATCAGTTTCTTCACTGTATAGTTAGCAACGTTGGAAATGACTACAATCGGTTTAAGTCAGTTGGAGTTGTCTGATTTTAGTTGATTTCAAAATATCACTAGGAGAAAAAAATGGGAGGAGGAGGGGAATGCAAAGAAGTGGAAAAGCCATCATAGAGGGAAAAAAAAGTATGTGACCATGATCATGAAATAGATGAAGAATTGTTTGCACTGTTTGTTTTTGTTGCAATCATCACATTTGAATTTGTCAATATTTCATCCATCATCTTGTAAAATATAGAGAGAAAAGGTGATGGGAGAGCATAAAGAAGGTATAGAGTATAAACCATAGTCTCTTAAGAAAAAAAGATACTATCATAGAGAATGATAGATGTATAGGATTAGGAACTATCCCAAATCTTTTATTTATTTATTTAGAATTAGATGAGTTGCATGGTTATAAAGTTGGGTGTGCACATGGATATACAAGTGTATCGACATTAGTGTGCATCATGATGATATTGCGATGCTTTTTGTAGACTAAGTTGGTAGTGACCTTGACCTCTCATCTATATGCATGATGCATTTGTGAAGAACAATATTTTGCATGAGAGACATCTAGAATGAAGTCTTGGATTTTTTTGGCTTTTTCTAGACTAGTAATTAGCATCTTTTCATTTATTAATTGTTTACCCAACAATTCTTCCTTTACATCTTATAAAGTTCACAAATTGTAATAGATATTAGCAAGGATTGTTGTACCACCTGAAACGGTATAGTTAGGGCGGTATGTATCGGTTCGAGCATGGGCCGATATGCAGACCACCCCCATTTCAGGCAGTCCGGTTAACATAACAAAAAAATTGAGAAAGTGATGGGCTCCTATCCAACTCAACTTTAGAAAAGAAAGAAAAAAACAAATTAGGGCTTGTGAACATGAGCCCTCTTCTTGCGTACAATGCCACTGCCGTTGTCGCTGCTACTTCTGTTTGCTATTGTCGTTGCTGTTGCTGTCGCTTTCTTGTTACCGCTGCTTCTACTCTTCTTTCTTCTTCATCTTCCTTCTTCCTCCATCGCTTCCTCTTCTTCCATCTTCCATCTTCCTTCTTCCTTCCTTCTTGTTCCTCCATCACCCCTTCCTCTTCACCGTCTTTTTCTTCCTTGTTGAAACACCAGTAAGTATCGGTTCAATAGAGTTCCAAGATGGGTCTGGTACAAAGTACAGTCTTAAAGTCTACTTTGATTGAAGTCTCTCAAGTTATATTAGATTGGATCTATTGGACCCTTTACCAATCTAGAATAGTTTGCCGAATACTTAAGGCAAGGAAGCACGGATATAGTGGTTTGGGTGGCGTACCCAAGTCTGACACATGTCGAACACGGATTCATCACTGACACGGTTGGACACATGTTAGACATGTTTCTAGTCGTGTCTTTTTTTATTTTTTTAATTTTGTTAGATACGATGTTTGTGTGTTGGAGTTGGGATTTCTTAGTGCTCACGTGTGGAGGCATCGTGAAGCCTCTGGAATGCTTTTTCCTCATGAATTTAAGGACGATTTCTTCCTCATCGATTGCGTCCTGCCTTGTCCAAACCTTGTTCCTCATCAATTTCTCTTCTTCTCACTTGCTTCCTCACCCGCGTCCTCATTGTCGTGAACCCTACATCCTGCTCAAAAGCAAAGCCTTTGCCCCATCTCGAGCGCCCTTAGTCCACCATTGGGGTCCAACGAAGCCTGCGCCCCAACAGAACATCCTCACCTGCCCCGAGCACCCCACTTGCGACCCGGTGGTTGCTGCGCACTCTTGGGCCCTCCGCCTAATTGCCCTTCTGCCGTCATCAAAGCTTCTTCTTCAATGGCCTTTCGTACCGAGCGCCTCGATGCCATTGTGCACTATCGTTGCGTGAAGCTTCTTCCCTAGTGGTGGCGCTTCTTTCTTAGCTGTCGCAAGATAAATTACTGTTTAGATTTTTTACTACTAAAAACACCTATTTTGATTATTAACATATTATTAACCTATTTTAGTTTTTTATTTTTTAATCTGCATTTTTTACTGCTTTTGTTTAAATTGTTAACATATTATTAATGTATTTTAGTTTCTTTATTTTTATTTATTTAATCTAATTTTTTACTGCTTCTGTTTAAATTGTTATAACAATTTGAGTAATATATCAAGATTCTGCTCCTTCCTAGTTTCTTTTTAGTTTATTCTGATTAAATTGTTAAAATATTATTTAAATATAAATACTATAAAACTCATGTTAATCGAATATATATATATATATATATATATATATATAT